AAGATTTCACCATTTTAATTGCTAGAAGCCTTCACAAAGATCCTCAGTAAATACAAAGAATGGGTTATTTAAATTAGCCCTACAGTACATGAAATATATTGCAACAGTTGTGGGATATGTCCATATCCAGAACAGTGTGACCCTTTGTCCTGTAAGTGTTGTGGGATATGTCTGCCAGAGATTGAATTGCTTCATTAGTCAGTCACCCTGAGTGTGATGGAAGTATTTGTTCAGACTCAAGGCAAGTTAAAATTTATTAAAAAGTACTTTGAAAGAATGGAATTAGTGTTGACATGATGAAATGTGGAGTCATAAGGAATTTTTTTATGTATATTTTCCAGGTAGGTACTTATAGGGCAAATACTGGCCTACGCAAACTATAACCTGAAAAATTTAAGGTCGAATTATATGTCAGATGGACTTGTATGCCAGTCTATACAGTACATACATAATTTTTACTTATTCCTTTGCTTAACTTCCAATTTAGTGATAATAACTGGAACAAAATTTAACTTGCACTCCACTATTTCTTGTTGTATTCCACTCTACACATATACGGTAGTGGAAGAGAGTGAAATGCCCCTCAACATATACAGTACAGTACATACAACCACAAATTCATGCTCACAACACCTACGTACACATACATAATGGTAATACACTGTACGATGATTTGTCCAATAATCGACAGATTCTCTAATCCTTCCATATCATATTTTTTACATTTACCGTACTTGTACTGCATAATAAATTTTCATACTTTTAACAGAACTCCTCCCCACTCAATATCAGAGCCTTGTGATCATACACTTAACAAAATATTAGTGAGGAACTCGAAAATGAACCTCTACAGCTATTCACTTGTCCCATCTTTCAATGAGTTTTCTTATTCCTGTGGTGAAAAATTCATTTGATTGACTCTGTAACCAATTTCGGATTTCTTTCTTCACCTCTTCCTTATTTGAAAAATGCTTTCCATGTAAAGCAGTTTTGAGAGGACCAAACATGTGGTAGTCTGATAATGCGAGACCTGGACTGTATACGGGGTGCGCCAGTTCTACAAAATTTTCCTCTCAATGTACTGGTGCAATGAGGGTGTTGAAACTTCGACAGGTAGTCCGGAACGATCTTCGTCTACAATGCTTGTTCAGCCATTCTTGAATTGTTCAACCTACTTGTAAATGTTAGCTGGATTGATGCAATTGCTTTCATATTGAAGTGACATTCTGCTATGAATTTCGCTTGGTTTTATCCCTTCCGAATTTAAAAAACAAATAACAGATCATTGTTCATCCAAAGTACAAAATTCAAGTGGAGCGCTCATCGCTAATGCAACACTTACTCGAGACTAATCGAATGGACTGACTAATAAAACAGATGAAGATGTAACTTATGCATATCTAAACATGACATAACATTATCACAGCGCTTGCCCCTCCCTGTTGCCGTCTACATAAGAAAGTCTTGTTACTTTTTGAATGACCCTCGTACTCATGATACTTAATGCATCATATTTTACTGGACTTACACCTATAATGCTGCAAAATGTACCATAGTCTCAGATGATAATTCATCAAGATCTATAATGACAGAAAAATAAACTTCCTTATTTCAGATTGTTGTGACGTACCATAAAGAGTGGCTCATCGTCATCTGAGCCATCGCTGCTGGCATCAGACGAGGATGACCTGATAATTGTTGGGCACCTGGTTGTTGCACTTCCGTTGACTTGGCTGCTCTCAGTGACAATGACCTCGCTCCCCACACCCGCCTTCACACGTCACGAATGGGTCACCAAAACACGTGAAGAGGACATCCAAGGACATGGAAATGGCAGAAAATGCCAGGTGGGGAAGGATGGGGTCACATGAATACATAACCTCAACAATAAATACAAAACTACTTTATAATGACGAAAGATAAAAAATCTATACTGCAAAAAAACTAAATATCTTGAAGTACGGTACAGTATATACTTTCACAATTAATTTCATCAACTTAATTATGCATGCAGCTTATCACAAAGACAGGGTTCCCTTTCCTTTTGGGTAAAATCACTACAATCCAGTCATTGGTAACGCATTCTGATCAAATTTCATACTCAATGGTCATGCTAGATGCTTAGGAGGCTCACAAGAGGAGCCATCTTTACCCACCTGGAGTACAAAGGTGGTGGATTAACATCTTTGGTCATCTTTGACACTTTGACACCTTTAACCTTAGGTGTTGTAACCTGCAGCAGGAATGCAAAAGCTGTACCCATCACAAGTCCAGGAATGTATACCTGTACTTGGACAGATGAGTAACGTAATCACCTAAGTAATGATGTTTGGGATAATGAATGATTGCTCAGCTCTACATTCAGCTAAATCAGTGGGCCTCACAAACATCTTCCAGCATACAAAATATTATCTAAGTTTATTAAATATTTTATTTAATATAAAGAGGAGTAACTACTGTATTTATTAAAATTTCCAAAAATGCTCACCTGAGACCAGATAACATAACAAATTTTAATATTGTCTTAAATTTCTGTGACAAAGGATTATCATTGGTTAATGCTTTACTGATACCTTCATCTGATAATATAAATTGCCGAAAATAAATTACCACTTAGTTTGATAAGCAAGAATGTGATGTGCTTATGATTAAATGGGTAATGGAAATACAGTACAGTACATGTACATAGTTGGAACAATACTGTATTTTGAACCTGTGTATAAGGAGTACAGTATAAGGGAGGTATCTACTGTGTAGGTGCATATGGGACCCAAAAATTACCTCACACCACCTATGAAGCCCAGAAAATTCAGGCATGTTTGGAATGTGTACAGTATATCCATAACACCTGAATATTTGTACTTATAGACTTATTATAAATATCTTCTTCATACTGCACACACACACACACACACACACACACACACACACACACACACACACACACACACACACACACACACACACACAGGCTCTTAACAACAGTATCATGTTAACTATAAACCCCTGATGTGGCCCCTTTATAATCACAAGTGTAAATTATCCATTTTAAGCATCACATTACCAATTAATAATCAGCATTTCATGCGAATTCTTTATGGCTTATAGAATTTACCCTTCCTGATACTTGAAGCTAAAGCATTTCAAGTATAATGAGAAATATATATATACACAGGGTGAGTCAAAAGTCTTCATAGATAGGCAAAATGATCACTTTATTATACAATCACTTCTAAGTCACAAAATATGCTCTATGTGGCCACCATTACGTTTCAGCAAGATGGGGCGCCACCCCATTACGGTATCCGCGTGCGCCAGTGGCTGGATCAACAGTTTCCAGCTCACTGGATTGGCCACCATGGTCCTGTGGAGTGGCCTCCGAGGTCCCCAGACCTCACCCCCTTTGATTTTTACTTGTGGGGCACTTGAAGGCCATGGTGTACCAGGTGAAGAAACAAAACATGGACCACCTAAAAGAACGCATTCGTGATACGTGTGCGCGCATAACACCAGACTTGTTAACGAGCGTTTGCCATGAGTGGGAAGAACGCTTCCGTATGTGCATTCAGTGTAATGGTGGCCACATAGAGCATATTTTGTGACTTACAAGTGATTGTATAATAAAGTGATCATTTTGCCTATGTATGGAGACTTTTGACTCACCCTATATATATATATATATATATATATATATATATATATATATATATATATATATATATATATATATATATATATATATATATATATATATATATATATATATATATATATATATATATATAGTACTTCTTATATTCAGTGTTTAAACTTTAAATCATGACCGTTCCACACTTTGTTTCCACTATATCTAGATAAATTTAAATCGTGTCTACCTCGTCTTTTTTATGAATGGTCCACGTAAATTCATTCCAAACTTAACTAATAAACAGTAATTTCTCCACAATTACTTTTCTTAATTGTATGACTTCCATCTCACTGTCCAGGTTTTGACACTAAGGTCTCATTTATTACCATCATGGAAAATGGCCATAAAACGTTGATGATTTTCATCCCCAGGCTATGTATCATGCTGTAACCAAATGAGTATTTCCTAAATACTGTACTGTGAATTTATTGATTCAAGAACACTGATTTGTTTAAGTGTTACCACAAACTAAAGACAACAAATAGGTAAACAGTACTATTATTATTTACTGGAAAAACTAGTCTACAGTGAGGCCACACATTGACGTTTTACCTACCTGTAATACAGAGATAGTGTGTGTAAGTTGTCTGATGGTAGCGTCCCGGTCTGCCAGCTGCTGTTGTAGCTCCTCTACGCGTGCCACCCATGCCACCTCAACATCATCCTGGCCAGGAAACACACGTACATAACAATTAATCATGAGACATACAAGAGATGTAGCCCAGAATTATAAGTAATCCATGAAATCATTCTTAGGATGTGATAATTAAAAGTGACCCATGATACACCCTCCCCAGGACCCATGACATATCCTCCCCAGGACCCATGACACACCCTCCCCAGGACCCATGACATATCCTCCCCTGGACCCATGTGTTAAAAGTGACCCATGACAAAGCCTTGCCAAGATCCATGTGTTAAAAGTGACCCATGACACAGCCTCCTCAGGACCCATGTGTTAAAAGTGATCCATGACACAGCCTCCCCAGGACCCATGTGTTAAAAGTGGCCCATGACACAGCTTCCCCAGGATCCATGTGTTAAGAGTGACCCATGACACAGCCTCCCCAGCTAATCTGTGAGAGGGACATAACTGCATTCAAAATCATTGAACATAACGTTTCACTACACACGAGAGATAGCCGAGATCCCTCATTCCCCTTCTTAATGATGAACTCTTAACACAGGAAGAAAGTGTACAGTATTCCTTTTCATTTTTTTTGACCTTATGATAATTTTTTTTTTGCACATTCTGTATGTAAGATTGTGTGCACTATCTTCTGTCCTTTCGTCCAAGCAAAACCAGGCAAGTCAGATAGTTACTATATATAGCATTATTTACACAAGTTATATTCATATTATTACTGTATAATCCTGAAGAAATAAGACAAATACTCTGAACTGACCATCTTATCTCTGAGAATCTTTCTGACTCCTAAAACTAGGTCTTGAGCTTGTGTCTCCTGTGCTCCATCCAGGCCAATTGTTCCAAGTTTGACCATGAGCTTGTTGACGCCGTCTGTGTGGGTGGTGCTCTGTGTTATCCCGACCTTTAGTACATCTTTTCCTGCTGGTGATACTACACTGCTTGGGAGAATTTCAGGAACAGAGTGTCCAGAGGTATCCAGCTGCTGAGAGTTCTTGAGTTCATCCAGAAGAGCAGGGGGAGGCGGAGAAGACAGGGTCTTCCGCTGGAATGACACAGTCTTACTAAGTTTTGACCGTCTCGCTACAAAGCCTTCGACTGTTGGAGCCTTCATAAGCTTCCGCAAGTCAGCACCATCTGGGGGTAACAGATTTCCTCGCGAGTCCTCCCGAGACATACGTTTTAAAATACTCTTTAAGGTTTTTCTCTCTGGTGTCTCAGTACTCTCTGGTGAGGAGAGTGGTGGGGAAACATCATCACTAGGCACCTGCAGAAATATAAAAATTTCAGTAATAATGATAATAATAATAATAATGTACTGTAATGAAAATAACAAAATAATATTTTTATTGATGTTATAATAATGTTGTAATAATTACATTAATAACAATGCAATATCTATAGTAACAAATATAAGACACTAATAATGTACAGTAAACCTCCGTTAATTCGGACTTCATTAATCTTGAAATCTGGATAATTCAGACCCTATCTGGCCCATTCATACTCTTTTGGGAAAACTGGAAACTTCTGAAATGTTCCAAAATGTTGCACAAGTACTGTACAGTAGTCAAGTTTATTAATTCATATCATATTGATGCCAGTGGGTCTATTTGGACTCTACCCACAAAAACTAGTAAAAGCTACAAAATCATGGATCAAAACAAATATTGGTCCTATCTACTGTGTGGCTGACAAACCCTACATCATGTACAGTATTATCATATGTCCACGACCCTTGTTTAACCCTACTAGACACTACTTGGCTGCTGAGGCAATCACATACCTGCCCAAAGGCAGCCCAAGCATTCAAGCCCTAAGTTTATAGTTGTTCCTTCTGGTTTAGTGGGTGGCTGATCCAACCAGATGCCACAGGTTGTCACATCTTCACTGCCATGCTAACTGAAGATGACCCAGGACTGTTGCCTGCCTAAAGGAGACTAAGTGTCTTCACCCTCTATTCACAGCTATTATGTCTTAACTACCATTCCGGTAACATTACTCTAAAGATTGTACAGTATACTGTGATACCTCTTGGGATATTTATCTGTTTGCACAACTCCCTATTTTATAACCATGGTAAGTGGTAGTGGTGCTAGTGCAAGGGCCTGACAAGTGCATAAGCATACAAGCAATCCTGATGATGTGAAAATAATAAAGGTGCTGAGCATAGTACACGTGCACAAAAGTTACAACACAAATTAAGCCTATAGAAAAGAACATGATATACATCCATTCTTGCTCTGCACAGCTGATTACTTGCTTCCTGTGCACCAGGGGCTTAGTATTCAATGTGATGTACAATAACTGTGCTGACCCTGAAGAGCTGTATGTATATGGTAACCACTTTCAGATGTTATGTCTGTGTCAGTATTTGTTTTTCATGTTTAATAGAACATGGATACAAGAGAAAACTGTACTAAAGATGTTTGTAAAACGGCCATAAATGGTTTCATTTTGTGCCCCAGAAGATACTCCCCAAGTATTCCGGAAATCTGGATCTCCAATACCACGCTTCCTCCCTATTAGTCCGGATTATCGTGAGTTTACTGTCATAATTCTAATAAAAACAGCAGTAATTATAATGGTAACATTAATAACAATAACTTTAACAATTCTAATTGGAAAACATTGATAATTCTAAGAAAAATTAAAACTCTAATAAAAAGACTAATAATAACCATGATCTACAACTCCAACTGTGAACAGGCAGAAGGTCTTTCAATATATTTCAGTGAACTGACCTTGGTAAATTTCAGGAGCCATCACTATGAAAAGCCTTAAAATAGTCAGAACAATCAGCCCCAGAATGAACAAATGTAAGAAAGCTTCACTCTCATACGCTTTACGAAACTAAGATGGAAAGTGTTTAAGAGAAGCTCCTCAAGAAGCAGCAGCAAAAGAGCTCCTATGAGTAGTGGGAGGTGACAACTACCATGAGTGAGAGGAACCTGGATATCTTGGTTTTGTGCAAAACAAAGTTTAAAAAGGGACAGGAAAAGTGGGTTGGGGACAAGTATATCTGTACTGTATTGACATTACTGTATTATGCTTCTATATCTCAACATTCTTAATTCCACTGAGAGAAATGTATAAACAAGTCATAGAATACCATGTACAGAAGGCATTGTCTGGTGAGTAACTATTTCCATTAACCAATAACAGTAATAAAAATAATTCATAGGTTCACGGGTCAAATCTGGGGCTAGTTTAGACATTTCCAAGGGTTGGAAGATGCAAATTTTGGCTAAAATGAATGGTGCATTCTGGACATGGTTTTTTCCCCTATTAACAGTTCTATTTCCCTGTTATATACTGTACTACTAAAATGTTGCACACAGAATTCAACTAAGACGTTGCAGTTTTTACTGATAAAAAATTCAATCTCACAGATGGAATAAAACAAAAACTTCTCTAACTCCACAATGACTGTCCAATCTGTCCTTAGTTTTGGAAGTAATTATTATTATTATACTAAAAACTTTAATTTATTTCATAAGATTTGAGAATTATTATCTCATTAGAGGGTGGGGATTTCTAACAGCTTGATAATAGGATCAGCACAACTTGATCCTACCTCTGTTGACCTTGATGAGTTCACTGGTTGTGTCCCTGTGCTGGTTATAGTCTGGATATTGTGAAATTTTTTTACAAAGAAACATGGCCACCAATCACATAAATTAGCTGCATTATATTACAACTTACCTATATGTATGCATAAAGTAATATGAAACTAAATAAAACTTTCCACCTGAAAATGTGTGATTAGAACAAATATGGCCATTAATTAGTAAATAAGGCAGTACAGTAAAGCTCTATCCTAATAATAAACACAGCACATTACTCTACAGTACATCTTACCAGTCATTAACAGTACAGTACGGTACAGTATTTTAATGTATAAATAACTTATATTAATTCTAGGCAGTCCACATATCAATTGGACATATGGACAGATTTGTTCTTATCTCAATGTTCATAAGTAGAAGAGCACCTGTATTTGAAACTTACAGAAAGTGGGGAAAGGAAATTTGAGGTGAATGAGCTGTACTGTACATGTAAGTCAATGAATAATTTATAGATGCCTGTAGTACATGAAAATATAACAGTCAAAGTTACAATGCTTCTGGTAGTTGAACGGCAGATTGACCTGAAATCAAGAGGAGGAACATTATGCCTTAATAAGTTTGGCACTGAAATGGCAACTTCAGCTTAATATAATTTATTAGTGTCTGGAGGGAAGCCGTTGCACCAAATAGTGATGGAGAGAGAAAATTAAATGGTTTATCCAATGGATTAATAAATCAACCCTGGCTGCATATGGGGCCTTTGTGGTGCTGTAAGATGCCCAGAAAGGAGCGATGTATTAACAGGATCACCTGACTTGGTGGTAACAGGTAAAAGCAACACAACATACTGTATGGAGTTATAAAAACAAAAACTAAAGACAACCAATAAAGCATACCTGTAATGAACCTACAGTACTTTCATATACAATTTCATAGGGAGTTATCACACGATGATAATGTTTCAATGTTTTGAGTGGTGTGTTGACAGAGTTGGTCTGATATACAGGTTAACCTTATAGCTAACCACTTCAGTGCATCTTAAGAACTGATATAAGAGTGAGGGTTAAAAATTAATATGGTTGTGGGAGAATTGTAAAGAAAAAATACAATACTGTACACTGTACTGTACTGTATTTTTCTCAATTATGGAGAACATATGTGCCCAAAACCTTTTGTAATTTAACTTCTTGTCATCTACAGTAATTCAAATTTTAATGAAATCTAATTACAAATACTGTACAGCTCTGCTTAAATATATTGTATTTTGGCATGTCTTAGTGAAGTAGTTAAGATTGTTTTATCATTCTGGTTACGTTTCAATTTCTTCATACGTAATCAAATATAAATAAAATATAAACTCCAAGAAAGTACAGTAAAACATTTTTAAATATGTACATACAGTATACTGTATTTTATATCTATAACCCTTCAACCCCTCTTCTAATTATCATTCACCATTTTCAGTTTGTTTGTATGAACACATTAAAATTAGCCAAGAGAGGAAATACTGTACAACCAGGATCAAAAGTTCACTCCCTCCTAAACTGAATCATCAAGACCCCAAACTTACAGTCAGGGTAAGTAAGTTTGGAGACTCATTCCCATGACTCAGTTTCACCATGGGGAGTGAAGCTTTGTCCACGACTGTACATCCAAATTATGTTTCTTTGGAAAATTTCTCTAAGTTGTGTATTTTCATCGATTCACATACGTACAACAAACAAATATATACGGACTACAGAATTCTCATTCAAGAAGGTAACATCCAAATACAGTACAGCACGTTGTTAAAAAAAATTGGAATAAAGTGATGTTAACAGAATACAACAGCCAATCATTTTCCATACCTTAAATCTCAGTTACTGGGGGCACGAGTCTCAACAGCTTACGTCTAATTAATGTATTATATAACATGTGCTATTGGAGCAGGTGTGGAAATCCTGGTTTAAAGGACAAATTGCAGCTGAGCATAAAAATTATACATACAGTATACTGTACCTGTCCTAAATATTCTAGGGAAGGTAGTCAAAGACACTACAAAGGTCAGAGAAGGACAGGTAAATCTGAAACACTGAAAAAGTTTTTTCTGTACAACAAACACTCACAAGAACAGGAATCTGTTTGTTTGTTATGCAGTAGTAAGTCATAGCACACTAACACACATTGCACATGAATAAATTCTGGTGGGTTAAAGAAATTGCAGTTTCTGTTTAAGATGCTTTTTTGCATAATTTAGAAACCAATTTAAATAACCAAGCAGCAAAAACTTTGTTAGAAGTATTGTTTGGTGATATATTAGGAAATATAAAATTATTGAACTTTGGTATTTACTGCCTCTTACAGTTTCCAAATTACCTTCAATGTTCTGTATCATTAGTGAGTCCAGTACTGTATAGTATTAGTTTGGTGGATCATTGCTTTTATTAATTAGTGTATTTAAGACATATATCATGTACCTGTCTATGTATCTATGTACTGTGTACATATTTCATGCATAGCTACCATATATGCATAAATTGACCGTAGAGTCACTTGAATATACTGTAGAAATATGGTATATAGTTGATCACAAATACTGAAAATATTATACCTGTATTGTTTCTGTGGTAGCTATCATAATTTTGTAAATCATAAACCAACAAAAACTAAAGACCAATATTTGGTACATGCAATACTGAAGAAAAACTAAATACAATTCTAAGGATTACCTTTAAACAGTCGACTTTTTGATACTGACGAATTGCAACTCCACTACCTGTTGACTGAGACCGGAGAACTTTAGGGGATTCTTGCTTCTCCTTGGACCCTGTCCTTGAAGGCTTTGGAACTGTATCACATTTTGATATTGTATCACTACTTTTCTTGATGCTTTCAATCTGCTTTTTAACTAGTACTGGCTTCTCTTCATTAATTGGGGAAACTTCATTTTCACTCTGACTCTCCCCAACTTTTTTGTCCTCTTGAACTTGTTCTACCTCTTCACTATCACTCTCTCTCGTTGATTGTAACTTAGGAGCAACACTTTCGTGAGGTTTAATATTTAAATCGTGTTCCTCTGTACTTCGTATGCGACCTTCATCCATGGCTCTCTTAAAACTATCACTCCTACTAATTTTATCTTTACTCTCTGTGAGTTTTGAGGAGTCAACAACTGACTTATCAGATGCAGCCACACTGGTCCTTTCCTTTGATGGAGTGTTTAATTTCTTTGATAAAAGTTTGCCAAAAGCTCTTTCTAAGGCTTGGCCACCTTGCACACTGTTACTGTTTGAGTGAATATCTTTTGATATAACTGAGCTACCATTATTAACAAGTTTCTCACCACCTGCATCATCTGTTGTTTTTGTATCAACACCTTTGTTCAGATCGTTTATGGGACTCTTTAACTGATGTTTGGCATCTAATTCTGCCTCTTTCTTTTCTCTTTCTGCAGTGGTTCCAATCGATCCAGTTGGTGTTGTAGGTGACCTTACCACTGTCATTGAGGGTGTTATTCTTGGTCCTGCTGTTGGTTGTGTTGCCGCTACTGATGGTGTTTCTTTTCCTGTGCCCGTTGTTGGAGGCGCAGCTGACGTAAGTAATGCCGCTCTCAGTTTACCCTTGAGCATCCCAGCTGGTCTTGGTTTTGCATCAGCAGTATGTGGTTTATCCTTTGTGGCTTGTGTCTCTTGCTGGAATGGAGAAAGTTTTCCTGGTCCATCTGTAACTGGTGATGTAATTTTCTTGGGAGCAGCATCAGGTTTGTTGGTGGTTGATTCCTTTTGTTGTTCCCCTGCTTTATTTCTTTCTGCCTTTTCTCTCTCTTCTCTCTCCATTCTTTCCTTCTCCTCCTTAACTTTTAAGAGTCTCAATCGAGCAAAAAGAGGCAACCCAGCACCTATGATCCCAGGTTCTTCCTCCTGCTCTGGTGGCTCCTGTTTCTTTAACTTGGCATTCTCCTCCTCCTCCTCTTTCAACCTTTGTCGTTCTTTATCTTCAATTTCCTCTTTTTCCTTGAGAAGTTTTAGACGTTGCAGTAGTGGCAGCCCTGCACCCAAGAGACCCTGAGGCTCCTCATTTGAAGATAACCGGCCAGGGCTGATTGTCTGATTCATCTCATCACTGGTTACTCGAGACATCCTCTTAAGCACGCCTCGTGCTCCTCCCCCAGAAGAATCACTACCACTACGACCGCTGCCACTGATCTTCCTGAGGAAGAGGTGGCAGGAATATGGGGTCAGTAATACAGAGCCATCAGGTATATAATAACAGGTGGGGGAACTAAAAACAGCACAGTTAAGCTGAATGAGAATTATGTAAGTTATACAGAGAATTAACTAAAGAAGGAGAGTTACATGTGAGACAATACTTTGAATTGGAATGACAGACAAATGACAAATAGGTTGAAGCAATACATAAAAAAATTAATATGAAACAGGAACTAAATGATGATAACATATTAAAATTTGCCTACGTTCTGGGATGTTGTACTAAAAGGTAGAACTTACCAATCAATACAACCTTAGTAAACTTGAAAACATGAACCTTTCAAAGAACTGTCAAAATACTGTGTATGCCAGCAATCACTTAGATTAACATCATGTGCACAACAGTTTAATGTCACCAGCACTAGCCTAACACATCTAGCCTAACCTAACCTACAATATATATATATATATATATATATATATATATATATATATATATATATATATATATATATATATATATATATATATATATATATATATATATATATATATATATATATATATATATATTACAGTATTGTAAAATTTAATTACTAAAATCAAGTTATATAATATCATAATGGTGCACTGAATGAAGAACAAATCATCTATGACCGTAAAGAACCTTAAAGGCATGCAAAAAACAATAATATACATGACATACAAAAAAACATGTGGGAATGTATGGAAACTTGGGTGTGTACTGCCAGTGTTAGTCAAATAAATACTCTCAACAAAGTAGATGATATAAGTGCTACAGGATGAAGGTGAAGCAAATATAGATACAGTAATAGACAATATCATAAGACAGTACAGTATATGAAAACTATGCCTTGTAATTCTATGGTCAAATCTACTGGTATACTGTAAGTATAGCTATGGTGATACCTCGAGTACATATCTATACCACTTGAACTAAAGTGTCAATAAAGGTTGTTATACAGAAGGGAATACTAGTTAGTATATGAGCAATAATTACAGGGTACATTATATCATGAACTAAAGAATAGTCATATATAAGAAATAATTACAGGATATCATGAACTAGCTACACACTAAGTAAATAATGTCACTGTCAATAGGATAAATTTTACAATGTGGTGTCACAGTTATCAGTAACAAATTATAAGAAAAATATCTCGGGTAAAATACCAAGTGCTCATATGTACAGTTGCCAGCAAAAGTTCTCCCACAGCCCTGTGTAGCAAGTTTGTGGGAGGAGTTTTGCTGGCAACTGTACCTCAATCGCAATGTGTGGCTCCAGTAAAGGTGAGCTTGTTAACAATCTTGTCTTTATACAGGTTCATCACAATAAAGTCACAAGAGTCCTTTTGGTTCACACTTCCGAGTTATTGACTAAAGGACATTAATGAAAGCTCATATCTAAGTGATTATTCTATACCTTAATGTTTCGGGGAATGTCTTACAGTATCAGGCTATCTTAAGGCACTACTGTCTATGAGTCTAATAAATGATCTTACTATTACACATAATGAGCACTCTGGGTTATTAAAAATACTACTAATCTTGGTTCTCTCTAGAGATTCTTATTGTTCTTGCATTTAGGCAACCCAGGAGGTTTCTGACTAGAATGTGGTAATGGTTTCACTCACAAGTTGAACACTGGCTGAGATGTGTGAGCCATATCAGAAAACCTGGCCAAAGCAAGAGTTAAGAGGTGAATATTCACTACAATCACCTTTTCTGGTAGGGAGAAAAGTAAATGATTGAGAAGTTCAACACCCAAGCCACCCCGAGTCTAGGTAGAGTTGTACTAATGGCCCTCAAACCCTCAAGTACAAGGGTGGCTTAAAGAGGGTGGAACTAACAATGTGATACAGGAGTAAAGGAGGGAGAACCAGCCAATCTGAACCTCATATATATATATATATATATATATATATATATATATATATATATATATATATATATATATATATATATATATATATATATATATATATATATATATATATATATATATATATATATATATATATATATATATATATATATATATATATATATATATATATATATATATATATATATATATATATATATATATATATATATATACACACAGTGGTCTCTCGGTTAACGAGATTTCGGTTAACGAGTTACCTTCCATAAGATTGTTAACTTCGGTTAACGAGCAATCCCTCGATTAATGAGTTTCTTACGAGCCGACCTCCACATGTTTTAGCTTGCATTTGGCGGTCCACCAGCTGTAGTATTAGTCCGCCAATACAGTAATCGGTTCTAGGGCTTAAATTCCTTACCCTTGTAGTATCAAGAAGTTTATACTATTCAATAATTTTAAAAGTTTAATATTAAATTTTTTAGTCATTTTAACAATTATTAAACATAATTGAAGGTAGGGTCACTAGTTTGTGGCACGCCAACCAGCCTGCCAACACAGCATACAGGCATCAGTCTCTGTGTCTTTTCAGTGGAGGTAACATCTTGCTTGAGACTCTCTTCAACTAAACGCTTTTTTTCTGTGTTTGTAAGCAAATTATTGGTCATTTTGAAGTTTATTTTACATATTGACAATATATAATGCAGTGCAGTGTTGATTTAAAGAAAATAATCTTGAATCACACCAAGAGAACTAAAATTTTATGGGTGAAATGGCACCTTGGGGTGACTTCTCTTCCACCCCAATGCCTTCTCTTCTCCCTTCTCCTCCATCCCCATTCTAATTCCCATTATCATCATCATCATCCAGGAGCCTTCTACATACACACCTCAAAGTAAGTGTACTTTTCTACCTTTTTTGTTGAATTTAGGCAATTTTCGGTGAGCTGGAACCAATTACCCAAAAACCCATTGAAACAATGGTTTCGGTTAACGAGTTTTTCGGTTAACGAGCAACCTTCTAGAACGGATTGTGCTCATTAACCGAGGGATCACTGTATATATAAAGCGTCGAATTACAATGATTCAATTAATTATGATTCATATTTAAAACTCTGGTTAATGTATAACCTGATTCGATTTACATCGCTTTTCTATTTGTATTTATGATGAAAATAGAACAAATTAAATCAAATCAAATTATATTTTCAAAAATAATAACTACCCTGTAATACACTGTACAGTATTGTACAGTAAAACCCCATAATTTTAAATAATAGCAGCTCCAACCCTTACAAATTATAATAAAAACCTTCTGAGGCAGAAAAAACAAATACAGTATACAAAAAAAAAAAAAAAATGGTAATTTTACGTTATCTGCCCCAATTAAAATTTAAACGTTTAAAAGTACAGTATCAGATTTAGGTGCTTGGTCCAGAGTTATCAGACAATGGCTCAAACACTGGGCAATGATGGAAAAACAAAGTGGAAAAATTTTACGCGTTAGACAATCGACTGTGAGACACGAATCGACTGTGAGACATATTTGACACGTATAGTACGAGTTTACACCGAGGCAGGTGGTCGGTGGTCACATCCCATGGCAACATCTGTGTCATATATACTGTAGTATTAAAATTGCATTAAAAAATGTCTCTCATAATCAGAAATTTTACTAAATATTATAAAAATTCTAATACTGTACAGTATATCGTAATACAGTACAGCACAATATTTCGAAATGTCTCATATTTTGAAATTATACAAAATACTGTATTACGAAATTTGTAAATATATTTTGTAACAGTTAGCATTAAAAATTAATGAGTGATTTCGAATTTGGGGATACGAATTATTGGAGTTTTACGGTATTAAAGAAAATATATAAATAATTGCACACAGACCTCTCCGGGCACATGACGTCACTAACATAAACAGTCGCTGCTTTAAGTGTCACTATTCAACATGAGCAAGAGAACAAGTGATGGTAGTGTTGGTTCAAAAGCTGAGAGAGAGAATCTGATGATCTAGACACTTCATCCTCATTCAAATAAAAACTCGGACAACATTTTCTGTGTCCTTATGTTTTCAGGTTTACCACCATTAGTGAGCAGAATTTTAATTTTACATTCATAAAAATTAATTAAAACATATACAGTATGTACAGTAATAAAAAGTAATAAGTATTGCTTTCATATTCTTATGTAGAGAAATGACACTATGTCTAAATGTGTGTACGTACAGTCAACCAAAGATGCACTTGCCCCACCCTGGGTCTCGTGCTGGCAATTTTACCTGTACATATGTTGGCCTTCTTGCTCTGTCACACAAGTTTTTCTTTACCACTTGTGGTTACTTCTATTGTTCCATTTACATTAAATAAGATTAATTAAAACATACTGTACATATATATATTTTGCATTAGTAATTTTACTATAGCTATAGCCAGGGTCTTATCTTCTTTATTTTCAGATGGAGAACCATCATCATGCGTGTAAACACTTGACAACAATGATGACATCCTATCTCCTCTTGTACGTTTTAACTGACTACTGTATGTATTATCAGTGAAATTTATGGTTTCTTTTGCATACTGTACATAACCATCAAATCAATCATAAACTGTACAGTACAGTATAGACATTTAGTAATAAACAATAATGAATTTTTTGTATTCTTAATACGAGAAGTGACAATTTGTTTTTGCGTTCATTCATACTCTGGGTCTTCACCCAAAGTTGAGTTATTTAGCACTAATACAGTACATAGTGAATTATATTGTATTGGATAAGTTGCATTAATAAACATTAATTAAAGTACGTACAGTATACTGTATAATTTAAATTTTCTAATTATATTACTGTTCTGAGGGAAAAAGTGGTAAAAAGCCACACAAAATATGTAAAAAGCACACACTAGGGAATGCTTCTCATTATTATTGCTTTATTTTAATGGTAATTAATGATTCATGATTCGACATACACCGCAATATTGGAGGAAACATGTCATGGTAACTCGAGCCTTTACTGTACACACTCACAAACACACGCATAATGCGATATGATTTTCCCAAAATAGAGCTTCCAAATGTTGATTTATCACATCACCAAGTATAATACCTAAGCTTGACCATTAATCAATCACATACAGTTGTATTTCACAGAATATCATACTGCATTAAAAGTAAGTCTGTATTATATACTGAAGATCAGGTCATTACATATACCTGTATGAACATTACATATTTTAATACAGTATAGTTTTTGCTTTCAATGTTTTCGCTAGGTGAGGCTTTTATATAAAACTATAATCTTTATATACCCGTAAATTCATAAGGAAAGACAAAAAGAGGGGTAGAATGAACAGACTTATAGACTCATCAAATTTCAGCATAAATTTAGAAACCATAACTAGAAAACTTCTGAATAAAACAAAGCATGCAAAGTGGAGTTAAGAGATAAATGTGCCGTCTGCTAGTGGTGAGTGTCTAGAGCTCACTATACATACCTATGGATGTACACACTCATTCCTCTGAACAAATACATTACATCTAGTAAAATAAAAATGTGTCACAATTCCCCTACACAGACTCAGAATATTCCAAGTTACTTATCAAATATTATTATTGAAATGGTCATTAAACCTCAAGATTATAAAGAAATTTATATATACAAGGAATCTTTCTTTGCAAATGTGTGCAGTATCAGAAAAAATGTAAATATTATTACTTTTGTTTTGTAATTTCTACAACCAACCACAAATATAGTATCTTAGTGCTACTGTAGTAATTTATACAAGAAATATGTGCAAAAGGATATTTTTTCAGTATACACAATGAACGAATATATAGACTATAACATTTAATTAACACTTAATTATGAAGGCGAGGCATCTTTCACAAGCTACCAGCGTATCATGGGGTTGAGTTGTGAATATCCTAAATGATGCCACTACACCAAAGTCCCATCATTAAGAGTTCATGCAAAAACCTCCTGAGAAGGAGCCAGAAGAGGTGGAGATATCCACTGGAGAACACTCAAGAATGGCAGCTCACTGCTCAACACTTGTTGTACTGGTGGTGCTCCAGCACTAACTTCTCAGTCATCAAATCAATGATGAAGTACTGTACCACCTATGTAACTTTACCATCCTCTTCTCAGTTGGGGTCACTCACATAATGATAAATTTTTCCATTATTGGTAATACAATCTGTCTTCTTTCTAGCTCCCCGTACATGCATGATGGTAAATCCCCTCATGGGACAGACAATCTACTGTTTAGGAGGCCTTCAAGAGGTGGTTCTCCAACAATCTCCAAAGGGAAGTTCCTCCTAATAACCACCAGTTGAGAAGTGAGCTGTCATTCATTGATGTACATAATTGTACAATGTCTTGAGTGTGAAACTACATTAGGTTGACTGGTGATCAATGCTAATGTGTCTAAAAGTTCAATGTAATATTTTAGTACCTGAAGGATACCCGCTTGAGGACTGTTGACTTATCCTTTCTGTTTGGGTCCCTGATGGAACCAAGATATTAAAGTTACTTAGAGAATAACTTAAAACAAGAGTTAATAAATATTATGTTCAATAATCTCCATGATCACACTGAGAGAATTATTATTACACACAACAAAAGAAAAGTGAAGTACTCATAAAAATTCTGACTTAATCTTAGTTATATTAGTGCTGTATTTGTTTTAATTCTTCTCTACTTATTTGGAGAATTATTTGTCTGCATCTTAACATCACACAACTCATTCCTACCCTTCTAACAGGTTGGCTCATCCAAAATCTTGTTAAGCAATTTTATGAGTGACCATCTCAACACCTTCAGGCATAATTGATCTAAATGCAACACTTAAAATGTTTCTTGAAGAGTCCTGCATGTTTATGGTTATAATTCAAAGGGAGAAAGAATGACCACTACATCCTCACAATGACTGAACCTGGGTCATCAAAAGCTTGTTATAATTACACAAATAAAAATCAAACTAGAATTAAAATATCTGTAGCCAATGAAGAGATTTGAAAAAAACTTCTGTACAACTCACTTCACAACCAATTTGTTCACAGTCATCTTGGTTATACTGTTTACCTCTCACTGGACTTTGTTCAAATCTTGCACTTAGAAAGATTTTTAATGAAGGATATTAAAACAGATAAATACATGATCTGTGAAGGAGGGGATAAGAGGGCATATATTCCCTCCATTTTCTGTAGGGGACACAGGGGAGGGTACGCATTAAACAAGTGCCCTCCAATTTCTGAGAAGGAGGGTACAAGGGAAACATGTTCCTTCCATATCATGTGGAGGAAGGGGTAAGGGAGATATGTTCCCTCCAATTTCTATGAAGAAGGGGAAGAGACAAACATATTCCTTCCATTTCCTGTGAGAAAAGGGACAAGGTAGAAAAGTTCCCTCACTTTCTGTAAGGGGACAACATACCAAGCGCTGGACACTTTTATGCTTGCACATTTAAATACTCCTGGGTTTTTACTAAGGAATGTACATTAAGTTTTTTCATTATAAGAGAAAAAGTTATGCATGTATTTTCATTTCGAAATTGGTGGCATTCTCTCATGGCACCTTTGGTAATCTTCTGTGTGTGTGTGTGTGTGTGTGTGTGTGTGTGTTAACCAATGTATGATACTGATACCTAAAATGATAGAACCGATTACAGTGACTAAATTAATAAATGTTGCCAAGATGATATTCACACACAGAACATTCTATCAAAATTAGAATACAGCTTTAAAAAATACCCCAGATCTTAGACTGACTTAATATCAATACAAAATATTATCTGTCATACTGGTTGGATGCAAAGCAGACAAATATATGTCAGGGCCATTTGCCAAAGTAGGATATTGATAAACAGGAAAATAGTTTGTAATTTCAATAAAGTAGAACAGAGAAAACTGAGGAAAGAACTGCAGCATACTGTACCAGAAAATGTTGTTAGAAGATGACTTCAAGACGTCTAACCAGTACTAACTGATACACTATATGCAGTGGACTGGTTCACCCAAAGAATAAACCAACATTCTCACCCCAGTGAGCCTTCATGATACAGTAAATTATTGGAAGACACGGCCTTGAAGCTGAAATCTCTTACAGGTATGATCTATTGAGCAATTTAAAACAAGCCACAACAGCTTTAACCTTTATATATTTGGTCAAAATGAACAGAAGTACAGTAGTAGAAAGCCATAAGAAATACAGTACTGGTGAATTAGCATGTTAAAATAATTTTGCAGTTTGGAAAGAACCTAAGAAATGATTCTATAAACATTTTTCATTAGTCTGCCCCAGTATGATTATACTGTACTGTATAATGTCCTCCAAAACACCAGTAACCGGCACCCACTCAAGACATAAACATCTCTCTCTCTCTTAATTTCAAAACACAAGTGGAGTTACACCATCCTTACTTTTGCTCTAATATCACCAAACTCCACCACACCACCATCAGAAACCACTTCCTCACCAATAAAGATTATATCACTAATATGTTCTTTATTCAGAGCCATTCAAAGCTGCCTTCCTTTGTGGGGGGAGGAGAGTCAGGGTCACGAGTAATAGATGGACATGTGTTCACCTGCGTGTCTTTATGGTAACTAGTGTCCTTCCTCACACCTAATTGTATCATACATCACACAGAAACTTCAAATGTATAGTGTTACAGATTTCCTTACATCTGTCCTCCTTGTTACAGGTAAGTGGGTAAAATACATTAGAAATTTTAGCTTAATTCAGCCATTAGATGGAGAAAAGTTTCTTGGTCTGATGACACTGCTGTTATAGTACTGTGCTAAACACCACAATATTTTAGGTTTATTCCTTAAGCGTACTTCTCAAACATTCTCAAGTAATTATATTTCTAAAAATAAAAAAATATTTGATTAACCCTTAAAATTCCCTCTGATGTACTCTCACCAAAAACTTCTCGAACGCTATAAGCACTATGCAATCTGAAAAATGAATGAAGAATTTGAAACCATTCTGAGATGATAAGCCCCATTCTGCTCATTCTCACTGCTCATTCTCACATCAATAATGCCCAGGTGTTTGAGAAGTTTTTGCTGAGAGTGTACGTTTATTGTCATCCTTATCACCATCAATATCTTACAATAATTTTCCCACGCTTCCTTGGGTTAGCAGTGATCGCCTGATGGCAACTCTCCATATTGCATGGCCTCTTGTCAGATTCCCAAGTCTAATGTTATTTCTTACAGCCTCTCCCCATGTCATTTTTGGCCTACCATTGGCTCTCCTCCCCTCCACATTTAGGCTCACGCACCTCTTGACCCAATTGGTTTCATCCATTCTTTCCACATGCAAAAACTCCCTCAGCCTATTTCTACACAGAACTTTGCCAATTATCTCAATACCCTGATGCCCTCTTAGCTCTGAACAGGGCCTCCTGTCACTCAAGTCATCCTCTTTAACTGCCCATGTTTCACTGCCATAAAACATCACACTTCCCACACCAGCATATGAAAAACCTGAAACATTCTCTTCTGGCCACCACCAGACGAATTTATTCAGCTGAGGGAAACCTCACAGCCAAAGAATTAAGTTGACAGTTCATGAGAATGAACATTACCAGCACCATACCTTCATGTTCACAATGATAATGATTACTTTTAAAATAAACAATGAAAAATCTCTTATAAACAAACAGAAACTACTAATTTTATTTTTTTAATATAAGACCCAACAGAAAAACCCTTTGGGTAATTCAACAAGAGCAGTGCCCCAAAGTTGTCAAATTAGAGGAATTTTGTTTACAAGTAAATGCCAAGATTTCCTTCACTTCATTTTATAATGTTTATAAAAATTAATTGAAGCAACTTCAGAAAACAGCACCTGATTGGGACTCAGTCTTATAATTCAAGAAAAGCCAAGATATAACTTGGTGAAATTTTAGAAGCAACAGACAAGGGCACAATAAATTTACTGCACACCACCAGGCAGTTTCAAAGTTGGTTCAATTTGTGAACCTGGAGTTCAAAATAAGGTCATGAAGACAGGATATATCATCAATACAGCAGATGATGGAGCTATAAAATTCAGTTCCTCCACACAAAACACAAAAGAGGTAAAATGACAAAACATGTAGAAAACATACAATCAAGCTATTACTAACAACCAGCTGGCCCGCTTAACACACACATGATGGTCTCACCTCACATCGGTCTTTTATGGTCAACACTTACACCGTACTGAACGTTTACGTAATTTTTTTTTCTTGATAGAAAAGTGGCCTGTACAATACAGCCTTTCTGAGTACAGTTTGGGTTATGGTGATCAGGACATCTTTGATAGAACACACAAGTGGGGCACCAAGACAAAAGAGTACTGTGCAGTATTTTCATTTACAATATGAAAAAATGTGAAACAAAAAGTGTAGGAGTATCAGCAGGAGATTTTAAAACATTTTCTGAACATTGATATGTTATAAGATAATACATCATGCTTTTTATCAATAAAAAATAAACATCACTGCTGAGAGTATTTCATACTTACTGTTAATGTGTTAAGAAACAAGAGACTTCAATGTCCTCCCTCTACTCACCCTGGACTCACATATTGTGTTCTTAGTCACTGTATCTGCCAATACAGCATTACTAAATCCTTATTAAGCCTACCTGATTCCATTTGTATTCAGCGACTATTTTATTATAAAGTATAATTTCCTCATCCTATGTCTAATTATTTAAATTTCCTTTCATTTAATCTATTTTGTACTATCATCTACCTCAGTTCCTCACACCTTCAATTATACCGTATAGTCATTCTATTTGGAACATCAGTCATCATCATCATCATCATGTCTCATTAATATCCACACATCTGGTATAACTTGGACTGTAGTTCCCTCGGTCACTATCCTTGTGGCCCTCATACTGGTTCTTTGTCCCAACGCAACACCTTAACCCAAGATATATAAACTCCACACTGCTGTCGTTGTACATCCTCATTCAAGTTCTCTTAACTCGTAAATGACACTTGCATGACTCTCACCTACCAAGCACACACAAACAACACAAACAACCATCCATATAAGCAAGTAAACAATACACCATACAGTGCCTATATATGATCTCCCCATCCCCACCACCCTTAAAAACTGCAATAACATTAATCTTACACAACCCAATACATTTTCCAAGAATCACGCAACTCCAATAAATAATATATTCCTTTATAAAACCCAGATCATCATCTCAATGAGTCGCACATACCCAGAAAACGCCCACAATACAACCTAGAAAGTACCACACAACTATACACTCATACTGGAAATACAATTTCCATAATGCATAAAATTTCAATCCCATACACATACTGTACTTGCTGCCTCATCAGTAGGACCATTACCCAGCACACCTTCCACACTTACACAGCTTCAACTGTAGCCCTCAGTAAAAACCCCATAACCCTTATTAACTCTTTAAAATCTCTTTATGAAACTTGTACAATTACATTCAGCTTCAGATGTTTTATTCAGAAATATAAGTAGAAGTACAGTACTGTACTGTTTTAGGTATATACAGTACTATAGGTACCGCAATTACCATGTGGTGACATTTATGGGGAGCTGATACCTTAAATCCTAAGAAAATCTCTTATATGTTCAAAAGAGCATTCTAATATGGAACCTGATGTCAGATTCTAATACTCTGTCTATTATCCTCACAAACTTTAGATGACACTTAAGATTTTTATACTTACACAAAGCACATAAACACCCTGTTAAGTGACCCTTCTGATTTCAACACAGCCTCTCTTACCCTGTTCCTCCTAACACGAAATATACATGAACTAGTGGCATAGCTTTTCACCTCACTATCCTAATTCACAGCGAATACAAAATATATATACTGTATCGTCAGTTTGGGGTTTTTAGCCTCAACTGTAAAAATTCTACACGATGGCATAGGCAACAGAACAAGGTCAATGAGACTAGCATGGAAAACCTCACCATAATCCAATGACTGGAAGAGAACTGTAACACATTATACAGGTAACCAAGTGAGTCTACAAAGCACCCTGACAGGGTAACTAAATAGGTCCGGAAAAAATGACAAATAGCCAGTGAAGGCCTATACATGTTCTTCTACCCGTTAGATACCTTCCTAAGTTTTATTTAAACAAACCAAGGTGATGCTGCTGACCACAAAGTAGCCACTGAGACTGTTCAGTACAGTACACTATATGGGATTTGATAATTTGTACCAATTTGTCCAAGAAGGGTCATAAACTGTTGTCCGTCAGACAACACAGTATTTTTTTTTTTAGTTGGAATCCAGGGTCTCTGATACAATAAGGGACCCAAGGGTAATCAGCTTCCTTTTGTAATGCCTTAGCCCCATAAATCTAACACTATGTAATAAATTAATAAAAAATACAAAAGATTGGGTAAAAAATATACTACCAATTTGTAGCCAAGGGGAAACATCTACTTTTCTCTATTTGATTTGTATTCTCTGAGGCTCTGGGTCCTGAAAAATTAATATTAAATTTTCAACCATAACTAGATCCACCAGTAAACACCCCTTACTGATTCCCTTCCATTATCCCTATTGATGCTGTTACATCAAGAACTGGAATGGAAGTCACACAAAGTGGATAAATTTGTTGAGAGTATGGTAGAGATGATATGATATAAGATGGAAGTGTACATCTGACATTTATGAACTCATAGGGGTAGATGAACCAAAGAAAAGATGATTGTTTATGAAGTCTGCCATCAATAAGGACTGAAGCTCTTGGAAGATGTACACTCGGCAGAATCTTAAACTAATAAGAAGGTTATTGTACAAAGCAGACTCTTAGGATGGGATTTCATTTTAGAAAAATGATTCTAAGTCTTATATTAATGTTTAGATAGTGCATACTTCTTGAGCAAGTGGAAGTCAAAATGAATGTAATTAAGCAACCCATGTGTTGTGGTACAGTGTAAAACTTATGTTGGAACTGTAGGCCATAGAAAGAGCAAGGAAATGCTTATGGGGAGGAGCTGTAGACATCCACTACCATACAACAAAGTTCATTCCAGTCCTTTCTTGGTATAGCAACACAAAGTATTTGGTCAACACATCAATATTAAACGTTACATTCCAGTACCTCCAAATGCGTTGAGTGTTATGCATTGCTCATGATATTGTGAATGATGATGGACAGAATGTGAACACACATTAACATAGAAGGACAAATTAAATGTTAAAATGGTTTGACGATGATAACCATAAATCAACGTTAGTTTAGAAAGTTCAGTAACGGACAAATCAAAGACAGACAGGTACAGTACAGTACATGAAGACAAGGACAAACATAGAAAGTTTGGATTAACAGATGGACAATCTGTACATTGCTTTAACATGGAGATGGACAGATACATGAGTCTACCACTTCCTCACCTATGGTAACAGTTGGAAGACAGGACAATGATTTTTTTTTTGCAACATACTCTCTGGAAATGACATATAATTCTGTCAAGTTTCATCCTAATCCTTTAATGGTATTCCAGACTGATCATGTAAAAATGACACCAATGAGCATTAACTTCCATCCTAAAGAGAAAAAATCTAAATTGTTATACATGACACACTTTCTCATGACGCTACATATGTTTACTAAGTTTCATTCTTATGTTTGAGGACTTCAAAATTAGGGATTTGATACGATTGCGAATTTTTAAATCACAAAAAATAAAAAACACTCGACCTCCAATTTGTGATGTTGAGTTTAAAAAATTAAGGGTGCGTAATGATTTTGGTCACAGCACACTGTCTGGCAATGATACATAATCCTGTCAAGCATCACTCTTCTTATCTCAGAATGCAGGTGAAATTTGGGGGGCTCATCACCAAACAATAACACAACCTTAAAAATAGGGCAATAAATTATAAGGGCAAAACACCCCTTGGGAATGGTACAGAGGCCTTTATATTTCATCTCAATCTCTTAAACAGTTCTGATGTTATGGTTTGGACATGAAGTAGGAATTTAAAAAATCAGGAAAACTTATCATTTGACAATGAATTGTGACCTTTGTCTTGAATTAACAATGACAAATTATGTACATAACATATCTCCTTGTAAAGATGAACAGGGCCTACCAAGGTTCACATCATGATCTCAATATACTGTAGTTCCTAATTTATGGTTCAGACACAAAACTGTGACAGACGAAGAAATGAACAGATAGAGACATGAATGAATGGATGAGTGGGATGATTCCAAAACACCCCCAAACACAACAGTGCCCTCACAATTTTCCCACATGATCTGCTAACAACAAGTAATTCTCATCTGTGCAACATAATCAGTTGAAATTGTAATATTCTTACACAATGCTTGTTTCTTCAAACTACTTGTACCCCTCCAAAGTTAAAACTAGCTCTAACTCATGTCAAATGAAATAGCCACATCTTTTACAGGACCATCCAGTAAACAGCTACACTGAACAATCTGTCATATAGCAAGTCCATTACAATGTTCTTTCACCAACCCACACAATACCTCTACAATATTCACTCAACCACTCAACACACCTGCCCTGCAACAGTCATCAGTCATCCATGTACCGTACCCCATGCATTCATTCACACCCCTCGAACCATAGTTATAACATAGCCCCCACGACAAACTACAACCTACAACCTTCCCTACTGCCACTAACACTACTCACTTCAGTATACGTTTGACTGCTGGGGCGTCATCCTCGGTGCTGGAGTGGATCTCGCCAGTAAGGTGCTCCAACTCCAGGGTCTCATTGTCCCTTGAAGAGAAACAGGCAAGAGTAAGCCACAACAAAAGCTGACAGGTGAAGAAAGTAAGGCCAGGGTGAGAGCACAGTGGGCTCAAACTAGATGTAAGATCAAGAAAGTTAGGGGAAAATGGGACACAAATGGGTGTCAAACTGTGGTGCAAAATGGGTGAATTAAACTGAACCAGAGGTCGAGTGGCTCAAAGTGGAAGTATATCAGTTAAAGTCAAGTACAGTAATACAAGCCAAACTCAAGGCAAGGTTGCACTAGAATAAAGTCAAGAGTTATAAAGTAAATGAATACTGAAGGGTCTGGTGAGCAAAACCAGAGGAAGTCGTGCACGGCAGAAGACGAAAGATCCAAGAGTACTCGTTGTGATGTTGCTGGTGTCACAGTCCAGACACCACCGCCCAATTATCTGGACACGTCAACCACTTCAAGGAGCCCGATGGTAAATACAGTCCGTAGAATTAAATTCATAGATGCACAAACATTTGGATACGTTGATTCTTTCTACAGTTCTAATCTCTGGTGGTATTTTTCTTGCTCTTAAAAAATGTGGATATGGAGTTATGCCAAAAACTAAACTAGTGAGACAAAAGAAAAATTACAAAGTATTCCTTGGTGTCCATGTACTGTATTGGTAAAGGCAGTCTTTCACTTCACATTTCGAAGATACAGCAAATTTCTTGAAGAAACTCTGGAGCAAAAACATGGCGCTCGGTTATCAGATGACGAGAAGGTTCAGTCAAAATTGTTGTGCTGTTGGTGTCATGGTCCACACAGCACTGATGCAACATTCAGCTCGTGTTATCAAGACACTACAACTATGGTCTATTTTCTACATGTGAAACATTCTTTCTAAAGAGGGCAAATCACTCTATCATCCATTCTCTACAAAAATTTACCTGTATAGTATACCGATTTAAAAACATCACCTCATATCTAACTAAGTACATTACAACTTAATGTTTTCTACTAGTTTATTCATTTCTACAAACCGACTTGCAAATTAACTTGGGTAAAAACACGTGTTCACTGTTAACATGCAGTGGCAGAGACGAACTCAAGATGCATCCCAACTCCTATAACACCCTCGGGTGCTACGTGAAAATAATCAATTAAGAAAAAGTGAAGAAATGTTTTCTTCAAAACCAAGCAAGAAATAGGCAGCCAGTGCATGAATTGTGATCAAAGCCATATTCTTACGTTTTTCTTCCTGTAAAATTGTCCTGTTCCAGAGTCTCCATGTACCTAGAAGAAAAAGGAAGGTAAGATAAACTAGAAAGGGGCGCTAGACAGCCAGGGTGAAATGAAACTGTGTCACGTCTATCACGACGAAAGCATATAAAGGCGATAACTTTCACCAGTTTTACTTGATTAAATTGATTAAAGAATGAGTTATACCAAAGTTTATACTGTACATATGTTTATAGAATTTAGAAAACAGGAAGACAAATTATACTCCAATTGCCTCAAGCCTTTCCTTACCTCCTGCTCAAACTGGCATATTAATGGTACATGAGGTTATTAGAGCAAGTGGTAAGGCAGTGGGTTAACTGAAAGTGCACTCATACTAGAGGAAAGTTTTCGTATTGATTATAGTGTATGTAGAGTACAAGGCATAGAAAAATTAATCTTAGAATTATGATGTATAGAAAGTAAAATGGACAGAAAAAGAAAGTTTAAAACTGATGATGATGTATAGAAAGAATAAAGCATTAAAAAGAAAGGTAAAAATTAATTGTGGTGCACATAAAAGGAAAAAAGACAGGAAGCAGAGTTTAGTGTTGATTATGAAAAGCAGAGGAAAAAGAAAAGTTAAGCAGGTCAATAGGAACATTAACAGCCCTTAATAACTGAAATCAATATGACGAGGACCTTACACAAAAACCATAGAACTAAGGATTGCTGTAAACAGCTGCTGTCTGTAGTGCAAAACTGCTACTGGAGAAAAAAAACGTTATTTCCAACTCGCAGATGGACCCGATCAGATTTAGCTATCCTGTGACCCTACTGCTGGTACACCATAACACACACACAGTCTCACCATAATAGTTTTCTTAGTTTATAACATTCACTTGTTGACAATGCCGAAAAAGGTACCATGTAATACAGGATACAAGTTGCTAGTCAAGAATTCTGGCGTGTCTCTCATTCAATAATCTAGACTCGGTATAAAAAAAAAAAGTGTGAAAGGCAATGATACGATAAAAATGTTGGTAGCCTATAAACAACACCCACAACACCCCACAGCAATCCATGATTTGAATTCCCTTCTCAACTTTCTCAATTCCATATTTATGAACTGTTGTATAAGACACAGTCCGCTTATTTTTCCTCCTTGTAGTTTAATGTTCCTGTGTCGAGTCTCTTAAGCATTTTGGTGCTTATGTGTCGAGTCTAACAATAACCTATCTGATATATTGTTCTTACACTCCAATATATTATTTTAAAATCTGTTGGCTGAATCTTCAGGAAAACCATCACAAGATCCTAATATGTCTACAACACAGAGGAAAAAACCTACACTATAGAACAAACATGTGATTGCAGCTTTAATTATATTCAAGAAGTAAAGTCTCTAAAGCAGTTATTAGAATAAACCTCTGTACAGTATTAAACACTGATAAAACAATAAGAATATAACTAAGGCATTAAAGTTGTTTGTCTACTTTGATCAGTTAGTAACACTTTGGACAACTAATACATGGGACAAGGACACAAGCTCCTGACCAGGCTAGTTTGAGGGAGTGTTACTATACTGTACTGTTGTGTGTGTTGAGGGAACCAACAGCCATGGGTTAAATTGACCCTTCATACCTGAGAGTTGTCGCCTCATAAATTGTATGAAATAGTGTAAATGTTACTGTTCTTAACTAAATAGTTTTAAATAAGTTCTCTCCTTTCACCTTCCTACTGAGGAATCTCACATAACAATTGTTTCCAAAAATTTTATCCAGTATGCTATCCTTAATTCTCTGAATCATTTACAGTAATGGGAATTTTTCTTTCAGTGCCGACTTTAAGATGCAAAGGAAGAAAATATAAATAAACAGATTGAAAAGATAGGAAATACTGGTGGTCAGAACTGATATAGCTGCTCTATGATACTACCATTAACAAAACAGTCCAGTCAAAAGTACATGATAAGCCTCCACTACTTGCTATAACAAGTGTAGCTGTAGTCATTCTCATGGTCATACTTCTGCATTTATCTACAAATCCCCATTCCTCCAGATATTTCCCTCTGACAGACGAGCCTCGTGTCACTACATGCCTCCAGGCCCTTCAATATTCCCATTTGTCTCTTTAATGTACTTTCCATCTTTCCCTCCAGATGTGCCTGCCAGGTGACTCCTCTCTGTAGCTTGAATTTGGGAACATTCTGCTTCACTCTTTGTCTGTTTGGCTACCACACATTAGGATAGGAAGTACAGTACAGTATATACTATCCCTGAATTCTTTATTTTGTGTGCAAGCTACTTACTTTCCTTTGATGACACTTCCCAGCTCTCCACTCACCCTCCTGCCATTTATTGTTCTCTCCCTAATTTCACTTTCCATTTTACAATTTTCACTTAACATCAGCTTCCAAATTTGTGGGAGCTTTAGCCTCCTCAAGTATCCCACTGAATCATAATCTTATATTTCAGTTCACTAGTTTTATCTTCCTACAATTTATAATTTCCTTCCAGCAATTCACAACCTCTTGCAGTTCCTGGTCACTCTTCACAAAATATGCTACAATAGGCAATACAATATACAGTAATTATATTTCCATACAATATGAATTAGTATTGTTTAACGAAACTTGCTGAGCTAATGAATAAAATTAAAATGTTACCTGACACACAGATGCACACAAATGGATAAACAAGATAGAAGAATAGACAGACAGACAGACAAATGGATAAAGAAGTAAGATGGAAGGATAGACAGACACAGATAAATTGATAAACAAGTAAGATGGAAGGATAGACAGACAAATGGATAAATAAGTAAGATGGAAGGATAGACAGACACAGATAAATTGATAAACAAGTAAGATGGAAGGATAGACAGACAAATGGATAAATAAGTAAGATGGAAGGATAGACAGACAGACAGACAAATGGATAAATAAGTAAGATGGAAGGATAGACAGACACAGATAAATTGATAAACAAGTAAGATGGAAGGATAGACAGACAAATGGATAAATAAGTAAGATGGAAGGATAGACAGACAGACAGACAAATGGATAAATAAGTAAGATGGAAGGATAGACAGACAGACAGACAAATGGATAAACAAGTAAGATGGAAGGATAGACAGACAGACAAATGGATAAATAAGTAAGATGGAAGGATAGACAGACAGACAGACAGACAAATGGATAAACAAGATGGAAGGAAAGACAGACAAATGGATAAACAACTAAGATAGACAGACAATATGACCTAAAATTTGTAAGTAAAAAGATGGTTGTGATGAGTTAATGCTGATGACAAGACCTGTGCAGGGATTAAAATACATGTGCAACTTTTTGATGGTATAGTACAATTAGGAGATTATGTTTAGTTGAATTAATTAATTTTATAAACTACCCCTGTATGTTATTATTATGATTATTTATAATAGTGTGTTGACATTTAGTGCCATATATGATACATTAGTTATATATGTAAATTACAAATACCTGCTACTACAGTATGATATAAAAACAATTTGACCATTACAGACTGGTTGTAAATATGAAGTAACCACCTGTAAATAAATGTAGTTACTTATATACTTTTACAAGCGATGGATATATGAATTGATGAAAAATTATCATTTACAGTGTATATATCAATTAGATACATTTTGAAACCAGACTACTACAAGACAGCTGAACATTACAAGAATAAACAGTAGAGAAAAATTTGGGAATCAATATATTTCACCAACTATGTCCATGGTGTGTGTGTCAGTTGATGTTACCAATGTTGTGTGGAGCCTGTTGTCTACATCAGCAGGCGTTACCAAGGTTACTGAGCTGGACACAGTGTGGCCAACTTTTGTCATTTTCATTTTTAAAAAGCTGACACGTGGTGAGGAGGTTAAATATAAGCATGTCAGTTGTATCAAAACAAAACTCTGGAACGGGGTGGTAATATCGACAATATTTACCTAGATTTTGCCAAGGCTTTCAACAGTGTACCCCACAAAAGGCTGAAAATCAAACTGGAAGGGTACGGAATTTGGGGAAATGTCCTAGCGTGGATAGAAGACTTTCTACATGACCGCAAGCAGTGTATGGTGATCAATGGCACGAAATAATCATCCATACCTGTCACAAGCGGGGTACCACAGGGCAGTGTATTGGGCCTGCTGTTGTTTGTTTGTTTCATAAATGACATGCCTGACATTGTACACACCTCCATACAAATGTTTGACGATGACGCCAAGTTATTTCGGGAAATCAAGAACCAAGCGGACTGTGAAGAGCTGCAGAAGGACCTCTGTGGGCTCCAAGAAGTGTAAGAGGATGCACCTGGGGTGTACCAACGGTAAGGAGGCGTATCATATGTCCCAACGGGATGAAGAAACTGTACTATTTGAGACAATGTGAGAAGGACCTAGGTGTGTATGTTGACAATGAGCTGAAGTTCTCGAGCCATTGCGAGAAGAAAGTAAATCAGGCAAATAAATTATTGGGTCTTATAAGAAAGTCGTTCAGATATCTAGACGGTCAGTCCCTCGTCACGATCTTCAAGAGTGAAGTGCTTCCCCATCTGGAGTACTGTCACCCCGTCTGGTCCCCGAGATATACTAGGGACTGTCAGTTGGTTGAAAATGTTCAAAGGAGGGCCACCAGACTGGTGGCTACACTTTGGCACCTCAGCTACTCTGAGAGATTGGAGCGCCAGAACTTGCCTAGCTTATACTACAGACGGGCAAGGGGTGACCTAATTGAGGTGTATAAGCATCTCAAGGGGCACTACTCAGTCAAGTGTCCTTACTTGGAGCTGGTGGACGCTTGCCCCACAAGGGGTCACAGCTCAAGACTGAAGAAGCCGCAAGTCCATAAAACTGTGAGGGCAAATTTTTTCGGAGTGAGAGTTGTGAACTCTTGGAACAATCTACCAGTGTGTGTTGTGACAGCACTGCGTGTGAGCTCTTTCAAGACCACACTTGACCAACACTGGAGCAGGTTCAGGTACATTCAGGAGCCGGTGCATGCTCAGTACTTGCAAACAGTGTGTAACAGAGACGTGACCGATTGCCCAGGCGGCTAACGAGCCGATCATTTGGTGAAGAGGATAAAAGAAAGAGAAAAGTAACAGAGACGTGACCGATCGCTCAAGCGGCTAACGAGCTGATGAGTGGTGAAGAGGATAAAAGTAAAGAAAAGAAAAAGATGAGTCAACTTCACACTCATATAATGCACCTTATTCTTCTGTCTTTTTATGCATCTAACTTACCAGATATCCAGAAAAATTAGGTAGAAGACATGACAACTCTCACAACTAAATAATGAGCTGTATTACAGGCTTACTGATGTCTTCTGGCAGTTTGATTTAGCTTAAAGCTGCCGAGTTAGAAGGTAAATCACAAGTCTTTACATATTGTACTGCCATTATCTAGTACCTGTACTCATTAATCAAATAATTTTTATATCCCTTTTATCATCATATGCAAGGCAGGATGTTAAGAGAAAAATGCTCCTGCACTAATAAATATACAGTATTCAGGTGAAACCTGAAAGAATAAGCTTAAAATAAAATAAAATAAAATAAAGAATATTTAAAAAATTACCATATCTTTCCTTACCATTATCTTTAACTAGGTTCAATGAAATCCCATGCCCTACTTTTCTTCACCCCCCCCCACCCCCCCAAAAAAAACACCTTTCTCATTCTTACTTAGTTGTGCCCTTACTCCTCCGGAAGGCATTTCTAATTGCAGAAACATCTGATTTTATTCGACTGACAATTTTCAAGGGATCAATCTTATCCTCTACACCACCATCTTTGTTAGGTGACGGAGTACCTCTCTTACTGGACCCAGAGGACCCAGACTTTGAGGTGTGCCGAGCGTCCATCAATCTCTTGCGCCCGAGGCTTTGAAGGATTTCCTGTAGGTGGGATAAAGGGAACATGGGCTTGGAGGAAATTATGTAACATAAGTTTGTTTACAGAATAAAGATAAAATAATTCTCTAGCAGGGAGTCAAAAAGTCTCTTTAAATATCTAAAACTCCTGACCTAATAAATACATAAAAGATCACTTTCAATTACTGTACTGAGTCAACATAAGCAGATAAAGATTAATCTTCAAAACACCTGCATCCATTTTTTTCCTTAAAAATAACCTGATTATGCAGTCACTTGAATGGAACCAAAACACTTCTGCAGCTAACTGTTCCAGGGAACATGTCTATCAGTGCCTGTAAGGTTGACAAGGCCATCATTGTTACACCTGACAAGTCATCCTAAGAACTCCCCTGTTGCTTAATAACTTGATAATTTAATACCTTCACAGTAAATAATGAAAAAGGACATCATTGTAATACTTGCTACTGTACAGATGTCTAAGAAAAACAATGTGTGGAATAATTTATAGAGCTTATCCACACACACAAATACCCCACAAATGTATGTGGCTATTCTTAATTTGACAGTGATATCTCCATTAGCTGGAACAACTCTTTCTAGCTCCTTCCCTCTACAACACAGGGTGACACATACCTTTACAGTTCCTAATTTTACTAACATTTTCAACTTACTTGTGCTTCTGGATAATCCTTCATGGCCATCAGAACATCTTCCCTTGAGAGACTGAAGAGCTCTGAGTATCCCACAGATCTAACATCTGCAGTTCGTCTGTGATGGAATGGGAGGATTAGCACGTTATATGCTAAGTAGACAATCAAACTTTATTGTATAAAATTTTATGTTCACTACTTATGTGGATTGAAAGATTAAGTTTAAGTGTTGATGACATTGTAATACAAAATATAATTAATTCTTTTTATCATAAATAGTACTATACAGTACTGTACCTTTTCACATCTACACATCAAAGCAGCTGTGTAGGATCTTCCTGACCTAGACTCTTTTAACTTACTAACCATGGAAAATATTTTTTTTTACATCAATAAATTAAACTGATAATAAAATTTTCAAATACAGGTGTACCACTGAAAAACCAAATAAAGTCAAGTACATGTTCCAGCAAAGGATGAAGCCTTACAATACAGTACCAACAGTACCAATGACTGTTTCAAGTCAGATGCAAATTGGTCATAAGTTTGTTAAAATGTCTGATAATGACATTTTCACAAAAAAAATTCTTTAGGTGGGTGTATAGTAGGGAAGCACACTCACTTGTTAAGGCCATCTAGGTTAAGAATTCCTATTTCCCCAAAGAAATCTCCTGCTTTCATTGTTGTCAAAACTTTGCCAGTCTCACTGCAATAACAAGAGTTGATTAGGAAAGGTATTCATCCATTAATGAAATAATCACAAATTGACAATCATCCTAAATGTAACACAATTAATCTAAAGTAAAGTAAGACAGTGTATTGCCATACTTGGCTCCTTAGCTTTCATGACATTTTTAAGGCTTTTATGAAATATTATAAAATCAGCTATAAAGAAAGATGAGATTGATAGTATTTTGCACTCAGAGGTAATCCTATCACTGAGAGTACCACATGTTATAGTCTTACTATGTTATATCATTCATGTTTTCATTACTGTATTGTACTCTTACCCATTATGAAAACAATCTGCTGTAGTTTAGTCTCTCATTGTCTCAACATGACACAATGACAATATATATCAGCAGGATGTTATGCAATTATACATTCCCTTCACACTTTGCAAATACTGTATCCACAACATAATGTCAATTGTTTCCTACCCCACTTTGTCAGATGATTAATGATCTCACCAGTAAACTTTAGTTCCAGTACTAACCTTATCACCTCGAGGATCCCATCAGCAATAATGAACATCTCACGTGCAACCTCTCCCTTTCTGCAGATGAGGTCACCTGGTGTGAAGATGTATGCCTTCATCTTGAGCACCAGGTCATGAAGAAACTCAGGCTGGCACTCCTTGAAGATGCTTACCTAAGGAGGGACAAAGCAAAGACCATTAACACATTCACAGGTGACACAATGTCTTCTGGGATCAGTGGCTAAGAGAAGTGAAGTGAGAGAAGAGAAGTGAAGTAAAGAGAAGAGAGATTGAGAGAGACTTACTGTATATCCAACAGAAATCACTAAAGTAGTAATTCTTTTAAGATTCTAATGACTTAAGGAGTCTACCGTTAGACTATAGAGCAGTGATGGGCTGCTGAGTGGCCCTCCAACTCAGTAGGCCACATGAGTGGCTCTCCTCCATATTGTTGGCCTGTAGGCCACAAGTTGTTCACCACTGCTCTCGAGGCTGTACAATTCCTAATGACAACACATAAGAACTAGTTTAACATTATGGGGAAACATGTTGAAGATATTCAGAAGGGTTGAAGGAGTGTTGGAATATTGTTGATGAACTAAAAACAATTAAGAGAATAGCATTTTAGTATGACTAAGAACTGCAACACTTAATAGGTGTTGGAGGCATCATGGAACAATGTTTTAGATTTACTGAACAGATGTTGAGGGAATGAATGGAGTGTATTTATAATAGATTACAAGTGAAGGTAGAGTGGCCACACCTTCTTGAGCGTGAGGAGGTTCACATGGAGGGCAAGTTCGGTCCTGAGCTTGTCCGGCAGGAGCCCCAGGGCAGTGTTGATGTCACCTCCGCCCTGTATACGGCCTCTGGCGGGAACGAGGAGGTTAAGTATAACCTCTACAATCAATAAAATACAAACATCACAATAGAACTACATCACTGTGAAAATACTACTGAAGGAACTGCCCATTCAGGTGAGAAACACTGACAAACTAGCAAAACATATCAATACCAAGTGTGATACTTCCCAGTAAAGTTCTGCTAGAGAAACACATACTTCTTCTCCACTATATTTACATTTAATCACTTTAGTTGAACGAGTTTTCTGACTATGACCAATAGTGTTAAAGATAAATCTGCTTGTACCATCGTGGACAAAAGTTCGCTCCCTCCCAAACTGAAGCAGTATCAACCCCAAATGAGATAAAACAGCACACCCGCACCAGATGACTTTCAGGGTAAGTCAGTTCGGAGACTCATTCCAGTGACCACAGGAAGCCAACTTATGTCCACGATAGTACATATGTGTGGACAGACGGTGGGAAATAAAAATGAGGACTTTAAAATAATTAGAGTTGTACAGCAAATTGAGACACTGGGTAGGTGTATGTAAGGGGAGGGGAGGGGGGGAAAGGGGGATTGCATATCTGTATGTGTGAGATAATGAAGTCAAGTCACCAATGATAAAATTAACTTACACAGGGAAGCCATAAAGTAAACACTCACCTGATCCACTAATAAAGCCAGTTCACACAACCTGTTAAAAAACTAACTCACAGTGCTGGTACAGTGCTCTTACCTAGACCAGGAATAGTCGTACCAGCGCTGGACTCTTCTCTGCATGGCTCTGGGAACCTTGTGGTGACGCATGTACAACTTGGCTCCATCCTGCATGTGATAAACACACACGTTATATAATCACACTAATAATAATAAAAAATAACAGGTAACAAATAATTATAATCAAAGGGAAAAGAGATGATCATAAAGGTGGTAGAACGATGAAGTGAAGGCAAGGGAAAAAGTGAGGGAGATGGACAGGCAGAAGACAGCAGAACAAGGTGTTTACTGTACTGTAACAGGGATGGCACACTAATTAGTACAAATAGATTAAGATAGGTGAAAGTAAAGCCTGTTTTTAATCTTTCCTGCCACCCTAGAGCATATTGGGGAAATACTTTGTAGTATCGGAAAAAAATGTAAAAATATATGATTACTTAAACTGATGACAATGCTAAAGCTTACATTGTGGGAATATTTAGTAATTATGTGAAGAACAGGTGCCATCACTCACCAATAATCTCTCAAATTCCAGTCTGTTAGCATTACGATTGGTGATGACGTTGCCAACTTGACCTAAAATAACAAAAGAAATAATGATGAGGCACGTGCACACACACAGACACACACTACCCTTCTCCAGGTTCTAATAGTCATACATATATTTCCTACAAATATCTCCCTTATACCTTCACCCAGTGTCCTCGTTCAGCAGGCCAGGGGAAGGTTTAGGAATATGTGGCACTGGCTCCAGATTCTCACAAAAAAACACATGGTAAATGCTTGGTACTAACTAGCTACAGTGGAATTGTCGTACAAGTTTGGTGCCATATTATTTGTTAAGCTTATGTTCAAGGTTTTAAATGGGCCTGTTAGTTGTAACTTACCTGTAATATCACCAGTTAGGGGGAAAATTAACATTCTGTATTAATCTGTGAAAATCCAACTTTATGTAACAACAAAAGTGAGTCAGTTAGATACTGTACTCTCGTATCATCACCAGTTAGGAGGAAAATTAACAAAGGAGTTTCTGAGGATTTATCTTTGTGATGAAGTACAATATAAAGGACTCGGGTAAATTCTTAAATTTCCTGTTAGGGGAAAATTAACATACGAACCTTCGAGACTCCATCTTTGTTTCCTAGCTTATGTGGGTCAGTCATATGTGCTCTAATTTTTACAGCAGGGGAAACATTCATATATGAACCACTGACAATTCATCTGTGCATTGAAACTTAAGCAAGCCAGTTACATGCATTCTAACATCTTCAATTGGGGGAAAATAAATATATGGACCTTTGAGATTCCATATTTGTGTTGTTGCTTAAGGGAATTAGATGCATTCTTACACCTCCAATTTGTGGAAAAAATCAATTCTTATACGAACCTTTCAGAATCCATCTTAGTGTTGCAGTTTAAATGTACCATTCAAATGTGTTCTCCCATCTCTAGTTAGGAGAAAACTAATGTAGACGCCTTTAAAAGTCCACCTTTTATTGCAGCTTATACGAACTATTTCGCTCTAATTTCACATCTCCAGTTAGGAAGAAAATTATATATAACCTTTGAAAATCTGAATTCAGGATGTTACAGCTACTGTTTAGTACTGTATGAACACAGTAAGTGAAACGTTCATAACTTTCACCCTAGAGTTATGTCAGAATTTTATTATCTCTTCATTATAGTAGTACTGCACTGTACTTTGTTGAGGATACCACATACTGTACAGTATCATTAAAATCCTTTTTGTGTGAGATGAAGAAAATGTTACAGTATACATGTGCACATACAGTATTGATAATTATTTCAAGAGGATTAAATCACAATCTGTAGATGAGATTCTTGTAATTTAACAGAAATATTTCTCACTGAACTTGACTTCTTGAACTCCTAGCAGATCTATCTCGCAACAGTTGTCATATGGAGACTCTCACTGTTCTAAACACGTCCTACAACTGCTGTGATATATTTCTCGTGGACCCAATCTAAATTTACCATTTTTGTAGAGGCTTCTGGCAACTGCTCATAGGTGCTAGAGGCCGCTCACCCATTAGTAGTGGATGAACCTTAGCCGAATAAGATATTTTGCATCTGGTCACGTGTGGCGCCCCTCACAGAAGGAAACTGATGACAATATATTTGATTCTCAAGACAAGAATGTCCCTCCCATGCATGGTGATAGTGATGTAAGTACAGTACACAGTCCAGGACCTGACAGAGGACTCCACACAATATTTTAAGTTGGGGTGTTTAACACTGGATTACTGTTAACTGACCCCAAGGCTGGAAAAAAATATAGGTAGACTTTCTGCAACCGGTCCCTTTTTCTTCTATGGGCCAAGTCAAAGATGGCCACCTTCGGAAATAGATGAAAACTAAAAGTGCCATAATTCTTTAACCACAGATCATAGAATAACAATAGTGATACAGTTTTAGATTGATAATGACATAACTGGCACATACAATAGGGTGGATTTATTTTATGACTAATGGTCATAGTCAATCAGAAATCCAATTCAGAGATAGTTCTTCCACAAAGATTAAGCAGCCCTGATTTTAGTGTAATATAAAAAAAATTTTAAGTCCAGCCTTGATCAGCACCAGTCTTGCTCAGAGTTTGTATGATGAATATTTCTTGTAACAGAAAAAGCAGAGTGTGTGTAAGTGGTTGACTTAAGCTAAAGCATCAAAGCACCTAAATTACACAGACATGTGAACTAGATTTGCTCATTGAGTACAAGTTAGAAGACAATGTAATGTAAAGATTCTTTCCAAAGATTCTCTTCATCGACTCCATGCTAAGAAACTACAGTATTAAGTTAAGTACAACTGTGTAATTGTAATCCCATTTTTATGTCATTTCTGTGTTTAGTGCATTCATCTTCATTTACATTGAATATTCATTATGTGAACCTCTGAGAATTGAGACAGGTAAATTTACGAGTGTGTGTGGAGTCAGAACAGAATTACTAACAATCCCAACTGAGAACCAGGCTACCACTCAACTAGCTAGCAAGTTGGCAAACAATGAAAATAACAAGTGAGTAAGGAGTGATATACTGTATATCCGACCCTGCACCATTTTACTCGAACTGGTCATCATAATCAATTATTATGATTTCATAAGAATTACAATACTGTACTACAGTAACTTTGTGAGTTTCGCAATTGCATTGTTTTGGGGACCCTGCGCGGAAATAGTGAATTGTGGAACTCGTGATACTGTACTGTACTATATGTTTACATGTTAAAAGGTGAGCGGATGTCGTGAGGTGGAGAATTTAGGGGTCTGCATGAAACTCGAGACCGACCGCCGAAGTAGCTAATGAGCCGATCAGTGGCGAAGAGGATAAAAGTAAATGAAACTTGCTAGGCCACTGTATAAGCCATCATAAATCTTATTGTGACAAAATTAGATACTACCGAATTTTCAATTTATTTAAATAAATATTTTGCATCAAGACATCACCCTGTGTACCCATATCTTATTCTTCAAGTGTCCAGTGTTTGTACAGAAGGATATCAGAGTACCCAGAGAAAACCTGTGCTGCCTGGTGGGGTTGTACCACAACCAATTTCGCATATCTAACAAAAGCAGTATTTGACCCTTGGCACGGTGGAAAGCAAGCGTGCTACTACTGTATCATAGACATCCATACGACATAATTTATACTATGTTATTATAAATAATTAAATACAGTCGTACTGACCCAGAGCAAATAACACTACGGTATGTCGTAAATGCTGATATCAATAGTAATTACTGAACTACGAAGTTGTAAATGGTCTTTATACAGCATCATCAAAAAACCCAATAAAAAGGTACACTGTAAAAGACTTTTGTTTCCCAATGAACTGATTTTCAGTGTTGTTCCCTCACTACCCCTCCATACTCACCGACAATGGTAGCGAAGATGAAGACACCGATGAGGTAGCTTACTATAGTAAAAATATACCTGTAAAGACAAAAGAAGTGTTCTGTTATGAGTCACGTACATGTAAATTAACTTAAAAACCAAAAACAAACAAAATACTATAAAACCATGACCAAAAACAAAAATAAACAGTAGTGTACAAATATGAATAACTTTTCTTTAAATTTATAAAAAAATCTCCAAAAATGTTACGACTGAAGGTAAAATTTGTACAGAGTAGGGAAACTGGGGCCCCGGCATATAAACCCGTAGTTTTCGAACTTACTTAACTTGCCAAAAAACTGAACTTTTCCAAAAGAATGAACTTGCCTATTGACGTGAAAGAGTCGGGGCTGCCCTCCGCATTTCTCCTCAAAAAAGATCGTTCGAAAACTTCGGGTTGTATATCAGAGGCTCGCAAGTTCCTCTCACCTCTTGAATGCGCCCGAAAAGTCACGGCATCTGCGACGCAATATCCAGCATTGCGATTACCGATTCCACGTACTATTAAAACGTTATTGAACATTCGTACTGCGATCACGAAAATCCGCATTTTGTTTTTAATATCGAGCCGGCCCATAAGTTTTCAGAGGAGGCGAATTGAGAAATGCCAGTAGAGGAAATCAGCAGATTCTTAAAATTCTTTGTCAAGAGAGAGAATGATAGCAAAATGAGGTAGGGACAGCCCGCTCTTCATTTATATGCCAATTTCTTTTAGGAGTTGTTCTTTAAGGCCAAATATTAATTACGTTTCATAATAATAATCTATGCCATTTTGCTGGGTCTCCAAAATGGAATTATGTGAAGACAAGAGAAGTTTTAATGAGTGATTCACAGATAGTGCACAACACAATCACTTACGGACGGACACAGTTCTTCCTCATACACTACAAAAAACAATTTATTTTGACTTGAGGTCTGCTACAACCCTCAAGACACATACAGATATTAAGAATTATTGATTAGGACATAATTTATCACAAGAAAGTACACCGAAAAAATCCTTTTTAGCAGATGTCCAGCTAGAGAAAAGGTGTAAAAATGGATTTTCTCTTAACAATTGAAAAATAATAGATATTTATAACTATATAAAAAGTAGGTCGAAGAATAAATATATATATATATACGTCTATACTTCTATATATTAGAAGATATACTAAAACAAGTTACTGTGGCTATAATAGAAATACATTGAAATATATTGCTTACAAAAATATTCACCAATAAGACTAACACAGCTTCAGTGATTCTACGTACTGTACTGTACTCAAAAACAGACTGAAGTAAATCTACTGCAAACACAGATGAGAGGAGATCGAAAGAAATTCATGGCATGACTATATTAAGCGATAGATCGATATAGTCATCGTATAGCGAACACGAAACAAAAAATAGACTTGAAACTGATATCGACTACAATAAGAGGTAGGCCGGTCACAACTATCTGCGACTGTATCAAGAGAGAAACATCATCAACAAACAGATCAACTGCAACGTGTATGAGGAGAGAGATCGAGATAGACTCGCTACAACTGTGTCAAGATATAGATCGAGGAGACCCCCGGCACTACGTCCTCAGTAGACCGGAGTAGAAAAGTAAACGAGAGAGAGAGAGAGAGAGAGAGAGAGAGAGATAATGATAATAATGGTGTCATAAGCAAAGAGGAATGCAGAGTGTAGTAAAACTCATCTTCTCTCAAACTATACCTTCAGGTGTATATAATGTGTGTGTGTGTGTGTGTTATGTGAAATTTTGTGGCCAATACATTCCCTATAACCATCATGTTAATCTGTGTCTACTTTATATCAATACATCATATGGTTCAGGGACTTTTAAACTATATGCCAATTTCATATCTCTTATAATAACAATCACAATAATAAACACATAATGACAATAATATAACAAATGCTATTATTATCATTACTGTCATCATATACTGTACTGAATCTTCAATATAAAATTCTAAATTAAAATATAAAAATTTCTACCTCATATGCTACCCATTATATTGTAGATACAGTATTAATAACTAATCAGGAAAGTTTAGTTTATCAGATGTAACTTAAAGAAAACATTGCTTACATAACTTTATAGTGGGTTGCATAGTATCTAGAGGGTCAAGTTTTACTGTAGCTCAGTGGCTTAATTTATGAAACGAACCACACAGGGAAAATCTTAGGAGGATTTCAATCTACTATACAAGCAAATACAAATACAAACACACTTCTAAATAAACATATAAAATCACATGTATAGACACTCACACACATGTATAACTGCATATACAAACACAAACACTCACACATTCATACACATGTATACATTGTTTACAAATACGTACAAACATCCTCATACACTTCATTCATCATAACAGATCTTCACTAAAGCAAATATTAATTCACAAAGAGACATGCTTATAAACTACTGTATATACTGTACTGTATTACACATATAAAAGCATACAAACCATAATGACCATAAAATTAAGAAGAAAATAACATCTTAATTACATAGTTAATAATAAAATTGAAGGACTGATCCCATACAGTATTATAGCCAGGACCAGAATTAGGTAGCTTCAAGTGGTCACCAAGCCATGGGTCTAAAAGCAGGAGACCTTAAATGTTTACCCTGACTAATCCAACCTGACATCAGCTGACTAATATATCCCCTGAATGATTCCTCTTAGGTTTGTACATGACACAAAGATGGGTAATTAATGTCCTCTTAAAATAAATACTGTAATACACAATGATCCATTAAATCGTGAAGTAGATAACTCAATGAGACCCAAACCATCTCTTCACAAGAAATTCCTGCAATTTTGTGTCAGTCAGCAGGAGATCTCCTCCTAACTCCACGACTGACCTAAGGAAGCCAGGAATAACAAACTACCCAAAGACAGACTGGATGACTTACTGTAACATCATCTGATACCTTGACATATTGACACAGTGTTGAGTATTACACACTGTTCCTGTTCACTTATCAGATGTACAGTCTCACCCAAAAGTTGGTTAACTCTCCCAGCCAGCTACTGATGCACTGCCTGCTTCAGATGTATGAACTTGAGTCTGTTACTTCGAACCTTTGGATTCATTCGTATCGGTTTCATGTTTTGGTTGGAACTGAGACAGTTTCAAACATCTGAAGCAGGCAGTGCAGCAATAGCTGGCTGGGAGAGTTAACCAACTTTTGGGTGAGATTGTACTCGACCTAAATTTATCTGTTAATAAACTAAAATCAACATTTGTACAGTACAGTATCACGAATTAAGTAAAACTTCAGCTAAATATTGACACTAAGAACTGTGTGCCTCAGCCAAACACCTTTAATACAATAGTCCTAAATCATCTAAGACAAAACACTTATCTCCAAATATTGTATGTAGAATAACTGGTGGAGCAACCTGTCCAGTGATTGGTGTGGCTGGGAATGAATAAGATACTACATTCTCGTCTGACTTCCTCCTCCCTCTGATGTCCATGATGGAATGTCTTTGCTCCTCTTTAGGGCTATAGGTACAATCCTTTCAATTAGTCCCAGCTGTTAGTCAGATCTTCTGGCTTTTTAGATCAATGGCTTAGTGAAAGCATTAGAGTCAAGCCACCTAGTTAAGGGTAGCTGGCGACACACACACAAGCACACAAGCACACACACACACACACACATAATCTGAATGACCATAAAATTAATATTGCATTTTAGTTATATGACTAATACAGTCAATGGTATAGTGTACACAGAAGTTGGTTGAAAAAATTTAAGTGAATGTCAAGCCAGGAAATTCTGGTGATATGGAGGTGGAAGTAATGGTACAGTGAGGGAAGGAGGGGGAGGAGATGGTGCAGGAAGAGAGGGAAGAGGAGGAGGAAATGGTACAGTGAGAAATGTAGATAGAAGAGGAGGAGGACATAGTGGAAGAAGTAGTCACAGTGGATAAAGGAGGAGGAGGAGGAGGAGAAAGTGGAACAAATGATGGAAGAAGAAGCTGAGTAAGAGGAGGTGAAAGTAGTAAAGAAAGAGGGAGATACAGAAGAGATGAGGGACATGGAGGTGAAAGAGGAGAAAGTGGAGGAGGAAAATCAATGGAAAGAGAAGGAAGTGATAAAGACTTTAATAAAGAGGGGACTTGGAGTAAGAGGAACAAGAGGAGGTCTCAATGGTAAACATACATGGTAGTTAATGTGTTGTTTGATTTTCCCACAAGGAAGCATTTATAACCAGATTGAACTAATGCTTAACAGAATAAAAAATAACTGGTATGTTCATCAGTGACTGGTCAAATGGGCCCCATTCCTAATAGGCCCCAACCTAACCTACCAATTAAAATTAGGACATAAGTAGGGTCAAGTGACGCTTCGAGATTCAGTTTATTTTGAACGGGAAAGAAAATTTACTTTGATGTGGTAACTCAGACATTGATTCAATACTTTTTAATCTACATTACTTCCTGCTGTTCAAGTACTGTACTTTTGTTCTTAGAGAGAGTTACATTGGCACTTGTGAAAGATTTACTTTGCATTTTCTTTCTCAGAAATATAAAGTCAATACTAATAGTGTGTATTTTTTTGTGATATACAGGGCCCTAGGCTCAACCTTTATGGGCCCTAGTCCTAATGGACTCTAAATCTAACAGCCCTGAACCCTAATAGTTGCATTAGGTCAGGAGCCTATTGAACCAGTAATTTATTCACCTAAGATGGAGGAGAGGACACTGAAATTTTGAAAATGAACTTTGGGAATGGATTCTCATAGACTAGTGCCTAAATTTTCCACCTGAACTAGAGGTAGGTGAGTGTATCAAGCTGGCTCATCTAAACCTTGACATAAAGATGGTAAACAAAAATACAAACTGAAACTGCAGACAAGGGAAGGCTTTTAGAATGTTTTAATGAGCCTTTACCGATATGTTTTGCTTCAATATACAGAATAGAAACCTGTGTATTTGTAAGTGTTTTATAATATTGAGGTTCTGAATCCTTCACACTCTATTTTCCTTACTAGTAATGTACTGCACATCATTTACATTGACCATAGAACCAACATATCAGTAAATATGCAATCAAAAAATGTCCTCGTATTTACGTCCTATTTCTAAACCTTTATCTTATTCTAAGTTAAGAAACCTCACCCCTTATTTACCCCAGGATGATCTGAGACTTCTTCAATGAGGTCAGCTTCAACAGTTATGATCCAAGACCAAAATTCATATGACAGGAAATTTTCAAGATCTACCATAACCATCAGTGTACGTATATGTACTGTATATCCTAGTTTACCTTAAAACAGATATGGTGAAGATGGTGTCCCTTTTGTTTGTTGAAATGTGATTAAAATTAGAAAAAAATTATTTGTGTCATCTCCACATAAAACTAAAAATTCTAAATCTCAACCACCACCAAAAATCACATTAGTAATATTAGTGACTATCCCAGACATAATGAAGATCTAAATATATGTGATTCATTCAAAAGGTACAGAACAAAAATGGTGCCTATGATTATCCTGGGGGAAGAAACAGTGAGGCTTGTAGAGTATCAAATGCCACTCTCAGGTGGTGTGATTACCAGCACCTACCTGAGTAAAAACGTTCACTCACTCTATAACAGGATTAATGTACATCTTCTGGAGATGGAGGAACTTAAAATAAAGAGATGAGAGATGTGTCCTGGTATATGGGATTTAATGTTGATAAATTTACAGAGAGACATTGAAGAGATAAATATGTGTGCTTAAAGATATTATGTGCAGAGACTATGGTAATGAGTGATCCTGTTAGAGGAGAGGAATAGGTGTCAGAGAAAGTTAGTGTACATTACATGACAGCCTTAGTGAAGTTTGGGAGAGACTTGAGCACAGAAAGAGCGAGAGAGAGAGGAGATAAAGTTAGTTGTTTCCTGCTGTGGTTGACAGGGCAGGGGAGTCTCTGGTCTACTGTCGACGTGGTGGTGTTCGTCACTACGGGTTTAGCTGCACGGGGCGGGGCGGGGCCTAATGGGGCGGACTAACCCGACGTTGGTCTTGATCCTCAGTATGCGAGACTTGAGCCCTCGGCGGGGCAGTGCTCGGGGACTGTTGGGTTCGGCCTGGCTGGACCCACTAGGGGCCGGGTCAGGGCTGGACGGGCCGCTGAAGGACGGGCTGGCTCGGATTAGGTGACTGAGGGCCGGACTCACGCCACCATCACCATCGGAATACTCAGTTGATATACGAGGGGGCCCTGGGCTCCCCCCAGGGTGAAGGTAGAACCCAGGGGCCCCCTGTGTCACTGGGACGAGCTTAGTGATGCCTCCCGGGTCCGGCCTGGCCGGGCTCATCGCCCTTGACATCTCTGTTACCTGCTCGGTGATGTGGCCAGGTCGAGTGAAGCTGGGGTCGAGTAGGGCCAATGACCTGGGCAACGGCTGCAGGCTTGTGTTACCCCTGTGACCAGCACTTGGTTACTACCTGCCTCATATTGCCTCATGCTGCCTCATACTACCTTACACCCTACCTCATAGTGGCTCATGCTGCCTTACATCCTGCCTCATATTGTCTTACACCCTTCCTTATACTGGCTCAAGCTGCTCACACCCTGCCACATACTGCCTTACACCCTGCCTCATATTGCCTTACACCCTGCCTCAGTGGCTCATGCTGCCTCATATTGCCTTACACCCTGCCTCAGTGGCTCATGCTGCCTCATATTGCCTTACACCCTGTCTCAGTGGCTCATGCAGCCTCATATTGCCCTACAGCCTGCCTCATACTGCCTTGTACCTTAACTTACACTGACTGCTCCATTTTTACACTGCCATTTCTCATGTCTACCTATCAATCACTCTTAGTCATCTGTTAATCATGACTTATCTATCGCTCAATCAGTCACTTTACTTATCACTCAATCAATTAATCAATCAATCACTCTACTGTACTTATCTATATACTGTAGTACTTATTGTATAATAATCAATCACTCCTCTTACCTATCTTTTTTACTTTTATCCTCTTCACCACTGATCAGCTCGTTAGCTGCTTGGGCGGTCGGTCACGTCTCTGTTACGCACTGCTGGCAAGTACTGGGCAAGTACTGGCTCCTGACTGTATCTGTACCTGCACCAGTGATGGTCAAGTCAACCAATCACTTTACTTATCAATCAATCACTCATTCTACTTCAATTACCTAAGCCACCAATAAGGAGCTTTCATCTCCCACAGTCACCCGACCACACACACCTTCTCTGACAGACAAAGGCAAAGTGATACAATGCAGAAGCATATTGTGCTGAGAATAAACATCAAAGAAAAAAAAGCAAGGAATAAAAATATCTGCCTGTAACTCACCATCAACATTTTTTGTGACATTCTTTTGGTTTTTGACAATGGAAAATTGGGTAATGGATGTCAAGGAATTCTCATTGAAAAATTAACTTTAAATACATTAATTTTTTTTTGGGGGGTGGGTCTATAATTCATTAACTGTATCAAGAGTATTAAGTGTTGGATGAGTTACACGACTACATTCTCTTACCTGTATTAGTGACCCCTCAGCAGTGCTCCAGTGTCTCATTATATTTACCTCTTTGACTAACACACACTGTTACCCTCAACTTACTCCAGTAGCCTTTCTTTCCTTTATTCCTCCACCATGAGTGAATGTAATGGTCATAAATAGTAAACCAACATTATAATTCCATTCACATCATAGTAGTGTATAACTTACTGTTTAGATCAATTTGTTTATACTCCTAATCAAAATCTATATACTGTACTGTATCCTAAAGAAGAAAAAGAAGTGCAAAGGTAATATAAAGGTATTAGAATAAACAGTAAGGTAACTCACCCATGAAAAAGCAACAAACATAAGTACATCACCTAATGATGGTCACAGTCTCACTACACCTGTTATGAGAGCTGCTGACATGAAACACTGGTGGCTGTCTATTTCATTACAGTTTTCCATGGGTGACTTAAGTAAACAACAGACAAAAGAGAATTAACTCCAGTGTTTATATAATATTTTACAAAGGCTTTTTTTCCCACTTCTTCATAATGCTTTCCCCTAAATAAAAGTGATGATTACTCTCTCATTACAACCCTCTTACATAACATCTATCTACTATTGTGTCAACATTTGTACCATCACTAAATTTCAGTGTGTCAGGTAACTGGGAGACTAGTCTGTTATAGGAATAATCGGAAAAAAGTATAAAGTAATCTAAACCTGTATTATGTCCCATGAGTAAAATGTGTGCTTTGTTTGTAAGCTACAGGTACCTGTATTTTATTGTACATTCTTGAGGAAATAACATCTAATTTCTGTAGAACATAAAATGTGAAAATAAGTCAAACTGGATAACCATTTTTGGATACAGTATTTCTTCTGAAATTAGTAACAGAAGGACAACTCCAGACCCTATTTTGTCAGTGTTACTGTAGGTACGATTCATGCAATAGATAAAACCTAAAACAACACACAGTATACATGGGTACTGTACTGGAGTTTTAATGTGAAGACTGTTAAAAAAACTTATTGGGTCTTTAAGTCTAATGTTATGCAAAGCAACTGCAAATAACAACACGAGGAACACGAGGCAACATTCCTATCCATCTGGGATGGCAAATGTTGATATCATGCCAATTTTGAAAGGGAACAATCCAGCAAAGTCATTCTATCGAAATTTTTACAAATTTGAGTTACATCTTTTTGACAGACTGGTGTTTATCTCTTTTTTTATTTCAATAATGACTGTTTGAGCAAACTGAGCTGGTAGTTTGAAAAGTTGGAAATGTATTAAGTGCAGTATAATTATGGAGAGACAGCCGACTGCAGCAATTGTCCATACGGAATAAAGCAAACAGTAACAGTGGAAAGTGAAGAAGTGAGTGTGTCAAAAATAATCAATCAATCAATCAGATAAAAACACCTGGTAATCGTAAATTTTTTACATGTCTTTATTTTGCTCTCATTTAGTGAGTTGGCTGTTAGCATGGAAGACATCTGAATGATGATGTAATGGAGTCCATAACTTCTGAATGGCCTTGACTGCTGGGATGTTGTGTTGTTTTAGATAATGGTACATGTACTGTACTGTACTATTGTTTCATATACTAAGTGTAGTCAGTACATGTGATATCTCAGTGAATGATACTAATGATTTGTTTCTGTATGCACTGTACTGTAGTACTGTATTACTGTACCCAGGTAGGAATAATCATAAAGAAATAGGCAGAATTAGTGTAAACATATAATAAAACCTTAGCAAACTCTGAACTTATTAGGATAACATGTGGTAACCTATATGAGTAACCTTACTGATGAATACAAAATATATACCCTGTACAGTGTATGAAATTTTGTGCAAATCAGATCAAGAATAGTTTAGGCCTCGTGTTCATTGTCACTCTGGATTGTAACAAACAACGAATGCTAACTTTAACTTTTGGTGAACGTCATAACATCAAAATCAAATGAATGACACAAAGCAGCATTTTAGACTATCTAGGCAGCCACGGTTACTGGTACATTTTGTGGTATCACATGATTTATTTATTAACCATAAAAAAGTGGCAATGTGCATCATAATATCTTGGGTTAAAAATGTGTGGGTGTTAATTAATACAATATTGTTCCTCTGGAGTTGTCCTTCTTTGTTTAAGTTATGAGACACGTCTTCCCAAATATTTTAATTTCTGTTAAGCACACACAGCTGGTAATTATTATATGATATGAGAACTCATCTACCTACCTTTCTATATACAGTACCTTACTAATAAACTATCTATCTATCCTGCAATTTACCTAACTACCTAAGATATCCTCTCCTGTGGGTAACAAGGAAAGTAATATGACTCACACCTGCCCTGCTCTCCGGGGCAGGTGTTTTTCCTAATTTTACGCTCCACTTGGCTCCTAGTTCTCAATATTATCTGAAACTTACTTTGAAATTAATTCTCTTTAGCCTGCATAAATTTGTGGGTTCACAGCCAAGAGTTCACTGTAAATGCCTATAGATATGGAGTACAGTAATGTGTTTTCAGACTCGTGTGTTATGGTCTCTCCAAAGGTTGTGTTCTTCCCAAGTTAGCAAAAAAAGTTATTTCACAAGTTTAACCCTTTCTTTATGTTGGAAATTAAAGCCCCATTTTCTTTAAATTAAGTACCATTATTGGAATTAATATTTAAAGGTCAAACCTAATGAGTAAAATGATGAACTAATGTTAAACATTAAAATCTAATAGATCAACATTTCACACAAGAAAAGGTTTATATGAAGTGCTGTGGGATATTATGGAATCAAATACAACAAGGAGGAGGAATATTCTTAAAAAAGGATACTGGATTCCATAAGTACATAATTCTTTGGAACCCATTAGAACCAACACTACTGAACTGGAGCACAGCCTGGGAACATACACTGGGAAATTTAGTATCAACACGCTTACTTGAAACATAAAACATTACTTGGCTGAGGTTAAGTAAAATCACAGACACTAACTTCTGTACTGTAATACAGTAATGAAGACTGACTAGGGAATCTAATCCCTTTATAAATTTCAGATAAGCGTGTTTTCATAAATTCTAAAAGAGAAGTCATTAATTGCCAGACTGTTGACTCAAAAGAGTATTTGCAGTAGGGTAAATTATATGAAACTTTTGGCTAAATATTTATGAGGTTCACTATCTTACGAGAGAGTCAGGAAATGTCTGCACCATTTTAATTTACGATGGATTGCCAGAGTTGTGAGTGAAGTTTTGGACCGACTTGACAGTTTTGAGTTGGAGAATCAAATAGGGAAGGTTTCATTTTAAGTACTGTACTATACTGTAGTAAGCCAAGTCTGGATGATTTTGAGGCTACACTGAGTTGAGATTTTGGAGATTATTTGTGGTTAGGAATCAGTTGTGGTGTGGGTTTCATTATAGATAAATCATGCGTGAGCTGTTCAAGTGTAAAATCTGTGTTGAGTACTTAGTGGTGAACAATGGTTTAGGTAATACTAAAATAGATGAGAATTTGTTAAGTTTGAGGTACAGTAGTTACTTTTGACTCAACTCTGGGATGTTAAAGTGTGGATAACTGGCTTGAACCAAGTTATAAAATGAAAATACTATAAGGTCAAGTCTTACATTTGCATCATCAAGTCTTACAGTGGTAAATATCGAACTGAATAGAGTGGGATGAGCCTGACTAAGTTATGACAAGAAAAGTTGGATTGGGTCTAAAATTAATGGTTAAGTCAAACGATTTATTCGTATACTTTTCTAGGAGGAAATAGTCAGTTATTGAGTCTGAATGTATGTGACTAAACTTTGTATGATGTAACTAAACTGAATGGAAGTCAATATTTCACTTTAAAAATGGGCTTTTAGTTATCTGGGTCTGAAACTATTCATCTTGATGCAACTTCCATTTACCTGACCTCAACAGTACTAATACCTGTGTAATGTCACAATTCTTGAAGTACATGACAGGTGAAAACTCTCCTCAGTAACAACTTTCCTTAATACTAGTTAATTGGGCCAAAAATTTCAATAATTTACTTTATCACAGAGGTCATGAGAAAAAGTGTTTTAGAAGTGGATACCACTCAGCTACTGTGACACTTTATGTTTACTCTGTCTGATGGTAACACTAGCTTTGGGGTCAATATTGAAAATGGGTTTAAATTGGTCATATTCCTTCTATACATGCAGTCAGTTACACTTTGTTTCCAATAATATCAATTTACTTAACACATTTCACATTTACTGTACTAACAACTTTGAGACAGTAATATTTGACTCTAATAATTAACTAATGCACTGTAATGTTTTTACTGTATATTGACTTCTTTCTAAAATATCAAATAATGATGTACTGTATGAACAAAAAATCTAAAAATCTTGCAAAATACTCAGGTTAAAGAGCTCTTGATTGATGATAAATAGATCTGTCTTGTAATCGGTCAAACTTTTATTTTTTGGGGTCGACTTACAAAACTCTTGACTGCAGGTATATTCAAGAAAGTACATCAAGTTAAAGAAAACATTTATATTTAATGAGAGATAATACACTAGACGTCTAACTGGTGTTCTACTGTACACAGGAACAGAGATATAAAGTTCAGCTATTAATCACACAATTTGTTTAATAAGATTTGGTCTCTTTAGTAATCCTGACATTGAACTTGACTATCTTTAAGGGAGAGGAGATGGTTGTGTGCGAGGTGCTGACGGCTGCTTGTTTTGGATAATTCTACTGCCAGGGTTGTTAAGCACCATTCAATAATTATCATATTTTACCCCCAAAAATTACATTTAAAGATTTAGAAGAAGGATTTTAAGCTTATTTTCATTGTGGAAGGTTAACGTAAGCACTGCCATACAATGAAACAGTCTAGTCTAATGACTAGTTATAAAAGCCCTCCTGTGCTTCTCCCACACCACATCTTTAACTCAGTTTAATACTGAGCGACATTTAATTCAATGTCTTCTATTATAAAAAATAAATAAAAATTATGGCACTAGGGAAAAATATCTATTAATTACAGTATTAAGAGATTTTTTATATACTAAATCATTATCATTTTCCTTAAATTGGCACTGGCAGGCAAGAACTAACACAAGAACTCCCTAAATGTTGAGTAAAGGTAAAGACTTGGATGAGGTGGCCACAGAGCATTATGATACAGTGGTTCACTTTCTAATAAACTTTTCTATGCTAGCATGTGTAGAGTTTGTGGTCCTGGAGGTTAACGCATAGTGCTGGGCCAAGGTTGTGCTGGTGGGGGAAGAATCATGGGCTTCTTAAGGAGTCATTTATATATACTACATGTACAGTATATGTATGTATGTATGTATGTGTGTGTATGTGTGTATGTATGTGTGTGCATGTATGTGCATGTATGACAGGAAGATGTTTATGGCATGTGTTTGGTTCAAAGTGGCCTGACAACTTTAAACTCCTCAAGTTAAATAAATACAGTATAACACTTTAGGTGTGATGGGACCAACACACAGTTGAACTTTTGTATTTGTTTAAGTTGAGAGGTTTAAAGTTGACAGGCCACTGATTATTTGGCCCAGACACACCCCCAATGTTTCTCAACCCCTGATATGACCCCTTAAGAAGTGGTGAGTGGATCAGTGACGAGGTTTGAACATAACAGAGTTTTCCGTCATAATTTCGGATGATAATATAGCCTGCATTTTGTATCTTATGGCATCGAAAAATTTACTATGATACTCAAATCTTTCACTTTATCTGGGGATTTTTTGGGGGTAGTGTGGTTATTCAGAAGTCAATATGTCCATTATAAAGGACATCTCACAGACAGAGCTGATTTAATGCTACTTTGAAAAATCTTAGGGTGGGTTTCCCAGTCAAAAATTCTAGCCAATACGACACACAACCTGACCTACACCTCTCCATACCATATCAAAAGTTAAATAAAAAAAAATCAAGAAAGTAATGTATAATGCAGAGACGCCACAGCATATCTGAACTTACTTAATCAGCTGTGTTATAAAGGAAGGACACATGACCTTCACTATGGGCCAAGCTAATCCCTGAACCCAGAACCAGACCTAAATCAACGTGTTAAAACTGTAGATTTGGTTAGGTTAAATAAGCTTATGTCAGGGATAGGTTGGGTTAGGTTAGGGGTTGGTTAGATCAAATTACCTATGGTTAGACTAGGTAAGGGGACAGTAGATTAAGGTGGGTAGTTTAAGGTCACATTAGCTTTGGTTAGGCTCTGGGTCAGGGTCCAGGGATTAGTGAGTTGTACCCTCCACCAGTGGTATTGGTTGTGTAAAATAATAATAATAAACCACTAAAAATAAAATAAACACTTACCAAACTGTGATTAATTTCTTTTCTTGTCAACATACCCACTACAGTATTCCCAAACTTGAAAAAAAAGAGAGAGAAAAAACTAATATCTCTACAAACCCACAAAAAAGGTACGTTAATGTGTTGCACTTACTGCCTGTTAGTTTCTGGGGTGGGAAGGTCGCCGATGGTGGTGAGCGTCAGGGTCGACCAGTATACTGAACCGAGGTACTTTCTTGACAGAGTCTTGAAATCTGAATCTATGAAAATAGTGAAAAGATGAATGTTAGGCCATCACCATCATCAGTAAAAGACACCATCGCCAATACTGCCTTCATCATCATCAACACTACGATCACATATAGTAATATCATCACCATCATCTGGGATGACATTGGAGCCAAAATTTATAATATGCTTGACCAAATATCTTACCACTACACTAGAGGCATAATAAATGGGAGTAAAAAATGACATGAAAAAACACAACAAAACAATTCACATGAATATGAGGCCAGGTTAAGTAAGCATTAATATGGCTAATCTTAGGTGAAATAAACTGGGGTGCTTAATTGTTACATAATTTTTATACTGTACAACACCATGACCCCGACACCACCATCCCCAATATCACCTTCACAGTTAAGCAGACTTACAAGACACAAAAGTTTAATTTAACCATGTACAATATTCCACAACATTTGCCACATGAACTAGTTTTAGAAGCCTACAATGAAACTATATCGGTAAACCTTCTAAAACACACAAACACAAGTGACATACATGAGCTCTGCCATATTAAGAAAATGGAACATACTGTAGCTGCAAATGCATTACACAAAGACAAAAAGTTTCTTCATAACTTCCTTAAAGAATTTCTAGGTCTCTCGGTCAAGCAAACTTATGAAAAACAAATGGTTAGTCATTGCCAATCATACACAGGTATACTATACTGTACTATATATGTACTTTTTCATGAACTGTACACACATTTCACACTGCACATAAGATACTATATATATAAAGAAACATGTGAATGATGCCATACTGTTATGACTACATAATTTTACTTTTTGAAATACTGTACATAATTTTCCATAATGATAAAGTTGGTTACCAAACTTTCAACAGATTCTTGCAAGTTGCATCTGTGTTATGATTGCTTTAGCATTATATCCCAAAGGAGGTGACTGGTCAAATAGGCTCCACTCCTAGTAGGCTCTAATCTAACCACTAGACCTGTTGTCCAATTGTTATGGATCTCAATTCTAAGGGACCTCAGTCCTATTTAATTCTAATCGTAATGGTTAAGTTTGGTTAGATTGGGGTCTATTATGACTGGGGCCTATTTGACTTTCAGCCCTAGTGTAGAGACTAAGGGGTGACACCTAAGTAACAGCCTCACATACAATATAATGTTAGTGAATGTTCTTACAAGAAGTATCGCACAGAATTTTCACCTACAAACCAGAACCAGAACCTTCTTTTGGCGAGGTATGGTAGATGAAGAACTTCCACTTACCAAGATCATGGTAAGGGTAGGTCCAGTCGCCCCTAAAGTGTTCAGCCTCAGACAACATGTAGTAAAAGCAGCCGAACCAATGGGCCAGGAGGAGGAGAATATGTACAAGGTTGACCACACGCCACATGTTGGGGTACAACGTACGCGACTCTACCATATAGTAGTAGTTGTACACACGATATACCTTAATAAATCTTGGAAATCTAATGATGGGGTGAGTCCCAATCTGAAAGAATACAGTTAGAGTAAGCAGGTGCTCTACATTGTGCTAACTGTAACATACTGTACAGTAATTGTGAGTAAGGTATTATACATCAAGTTTACTTTGAGAAAAGTTCAAAATCATTCAAACTGAGATTAAGTGCGGTACTGGAAGAAGCTTTACTGTAAAGTTGTGGGGTAACAGTCCTTGTGGTGATAATTCCGTAGGGCCATAATACCAGGGTGCATTTACCTCATGTACACGTGCTACAGAAAGTATCTGCAAGGCGGGGTCCGATGGATGTCAAAATGAACACTGCAGTTCCTGTTGTCTCAGTAGGGTTGTCAAAATCCTTCATTCGTTGTGTCATATTGTCTCGCCAAAAAATTTTGCAGATACTTTCTGAAGCGAGTGTACAGTACTAGTTTCACAAAAAATCACATTGACTAAAGTTTTGAGGAATGGTTCCTTGAGGCTGTTCTATCAGATAACATTATCTTATTATGATAAATAAATAACCTGATACTAGTTACAAACTTGTAATGAACTTTGCCTGTAGGACGGAGATCAATGATATGTACTGTACTAATGTCTGTAGGATCATGCACCTGTATTGCTCATTAACCACTTGTACTGCTAACGAGGACTAAGTCATGACATTGGTAATTGTGCATTAACCAATAACCACATGTGTTTTGTACAACCTAATAATTTACAGATAAAAAAAAGATGCATTAGAAAACAAAGGGATGACATAACTAAAAACAGGTATGAGAAAATGGTACTTAATACTAAAGTAATTATATGTAAGGATGAAGCTTGACGACATCTACTATAAGGTATAACACAGCAAGAGGTCCACACCATCTCTCAGGATACATAATGCTCATATAAACATTATTTCCTTTTAAAACAACAAAATAATAATGTACATAATTAAGTCTGAGCTTTACAAATTTATTCAGAAATTAAAATCAGGGGTAGATACAGGACTTTTAGCTGGAGGAGCAGCAACTGTCCAAGGTGTTGTACTGAGAAGCAAAAGTCTCTGGAACTGAACTATGCTGGGAGGGGGGGCGGCAGGGACATGAACGATTCACTATAACACAACTTCCGATGGGTGGAAATTAAACTTAAAAGCATATAAATAAATAAAATATATGGATGTATTCTCTGTAAGTTCATCCTTTAATCTGCTAGTGAAATATTAATACAGTAGATTCTTTAGAGGCACAGGACCGTAGCAGATCAAATGCCATATAAAGACTTTCTTTTTTTTTCTTTTTTTTTACGGGAATTAGCCTACCCGGGCACAGGTCAAACGACCCACAACGGGGCCTGGGGGGTAAAAGAAAGGACTCACCAAAAGTTGTAAAATATCTAAAGGGAAGAGGGAGACGAGGTCGAGCATGAAGCTCCTGGAATGCATGTAGTGATTGGCCAGCTTCTTGAAGTCGTACACAATAAGGCCTTGTTCCAGGTACCCCGTGCGGAACTGTATCAGGATGTCCAACAGGAAGATCATATCTGTCATCCCATCTGACAAGTACCTGCAGGCACAACAAGCAGGAGTTATGTTACACTCGAGTATATGTAAAGTCTTCTCTAGCAATATACAACAGTACTATAGTATGGGCACAACCAAAACAATAATGCAATGACAGATTTATAATATACAGTTTCTTTATAACATTGAATAAGGGGGTGGAAGGGCTAAAACTCAGGTTAAAAGTTAATGTTATGTATTCGTCGACTAAATCTATTTTATCAACAAAGACCATAACCTCTACCCAAAGATCCAGGATCATTAAGGAAACCAAAATGTTAACAGACAGACACACAACACAGCTCGTCCTGTCTTCAAAGGATGAATATAAATGACAAGGTCAGGTCAGGTCACTGTTAAATCTCTTGCTAATATTTTTCTTCACAAATATCAATGATGAAACTGGTATGGTGGGCACTGTGTCAAGTGTTGCAGGGTGGTGTATGGTGGGCACTGTGCCAAGTGTTGCAGGGTGGTATATGGTGGGCACTGTGCCAAGTGTTGCAGGATAATGTATGGTGGGCACTGTGCCAAGTGTTGCAGGATAATGTATGGTGGGCACTGTGCCAAGTGTTGCAGGATAATGTATGGTGGGCACTGTGCCAAGTGTTGCAGGATAATGTATGGTGGGCACTGTGCCTGCCACTGTGCCAGGATAATGTATGGTGGGCACTGTGCCAAGTGTTGCAGGATAATGTATGGTGGGCACTGTGCCAAGTGTTGCAGGATAATGTATGGTGGGCACTGTGCCAAGTGTTGCAGGATAATGTATGGTGGGCACTGTGCCAAGTGTTGCAGGAAGGCAGAGGACAGGATGGGACTCCTGCCAAGTGTTGCAGGCGAGAAACACACTGAGCTGCAAGGGGTTTTACCATCATCTGGTTGGGAGGTAGTGTTGACAAAATAGATCACAGCTGCCCCGATATATTTATTCTCGGGGAAAGGAAAGTGTGAAGAAAGAGGGAGGCGAGAGGAGAGAGGGGAGGAGAGGAAAGGAAGGAAAGGAGGAGAGAGAAGAGAAAGAAAGGAGGAGAGAGAAGGGAAGGAAAGGAGGAAAAGGGGGATTAATACAAGAAAGGGGGGGGGGAGTGGAAGTTCGTTCGTTCTCTCTCTCTCTCTCACACACACGTAATACTCACACACCCACTCACCAGAGAGGCTGTGGTCGCCGCTGTAGCTCGGGGAAGGCCTGTCTCACTATAGGCGTCCACAGGTTGTACAGGACACAGATGGTCAGTACACACAGCCAGTAGAAGTAAACATTGCCATAAGGATTGATCACCGTCCTGGGTTGTCGCTTCTTCCTCTTCTTACGGATCTTAGGAGACCCTGTGGAGTTTTTGCTGATGTCCTCCTCGTCTGTTTGGTCCACCGTGTCCTGTGTGTGTGTGTGTGTGTGAGATGGAAGGTGTCTTATTAATGTTTGTGGGGTGGGGTGGGGGTGGGGTGGGGTGGGGTGGGTTGGGGTGAGGTGGGTTGGTGGGTTGGGTGAGGTGGGGTTGGGTTGGGGTGGGGTTGGGGTGGGGGTGGGGTTGGGTGGGGTGGGGTGGGGTAGGGTTGGGGTGGGGGAGGTGGGGTTGGGTGGGTGGGGTGGGGTTGGTGCAGGGTGGGTGGGGTGGGGTGGTTGGGTGGAGGTGGGGTTGGGTGGAGGTGGGGATTAGGGTGATGGTGGGTTGGGGTGAGGTGGGTTGGGTTGGGGTGAGATTGGGTTGGGTTGGGGTGAGGTGGGTTGGGTTGGGGTGAGGGTG